GCAACTGGTCTAATTTAAAATTTATAAACGCCAGGCTATGAAAGAAATGAGGCGGAATTTAAATATTTTGGAAGATATAATTGTTTGTAATTTATTTTTTCTCCATTTTATTACAGGATGTATATTCGAGAGTTTTTGATTACTCAAAAGAAGATCGAAAATAGAAATCAACTTTATTTTGTGAAGCAAATTTGGAACTATTTCTAAATAATAAAATAATCTTGCACTTAATGTCGACGTTGCCGTCGTGTCAAAGTTCAGATGTATAATTTGCAGAAATGTGACCTGCATCAGTCAAATTGTTGGTATCTGAAATTTATTAAATTAGCTGAAAATAAATTTATGTACGTCGCATAGTTTTTATGGAGCTCCAATATTTCTGAAAAATTTGACAGTGTCACAAAAAGTTTTAAATTCGGCCGGAAAAAGAGCATATCTTTCTGCTTAAAAAAAATAATTATATAAATACAATTACATAAATCCAAAAAGTTTGTTTGGATATTGCACAAGGAAATTATTACGTACTTTCCCGTTGCTTAATTTTTAAAAATGTTTTATTTATCTGCTGTATATTTTACATTGCTCGTATGTAGGTACTAGCACCATTCCTTGCAATTTGCGCCCCCACGTCGAGGGTATTATTTATGCCGCTGTTACTTTATAGAAATGATCACAACAAACATTGCAAAATCTAATTTTATCATTTTTCAAAGAAGCCGGATTTGTTAGATTTGTAGTTCAGGAGCGAGGGAAGTTCTGTCGAAATAAATTTCGACCAATTTTTCGTAGTAGTAACTACAATAAAATTGTTTGCTTTCATCCACAGAACGAAAGGTGAAATGTCATTTTTAATTTTAAAGCTAAAACTACGCTAAAACCGTTATATTGTGACATGGAGGTAGGATGGCAGGAGGTCCCTCATTTAACTATTTTCAAAGAAACGGCGACAAAACGGCTGCACTCAAGAGCCATTATGACTCTTTCCGTACCACATCGGGAACGGTCGGTTGTCAACAGAAGATCAGAGGCGGAACCATTCAGTTTAAAATAGGTTCATAAAACCAAATATATTTCTAACAACATAAAAGTTTAAGTGCATTTTATGTTACTGCTTTTATATTCCATCTTAATAAATTATTTTTGTATTTTATACCCAGTACCCGGCAAATGCTTTCCTGCACGCCACTGGAAGAATCGGTTTCTCGGAGAAGCTAGAAGAGCTATTTATGACCCTTTATGACCCTAAAGCGCAGTATTAGTCACGTTTACAAATCCAAACTATCTTCTTCCTCTCATTTTAGTGTGCATTCTACCTCTGTGTACCGTGAGGTCTTTTTCCGCTGAAAATAGGATAATTCATGTATGTTGGGTTGCATATTCAATGTGCAATGAATTGACTTGGAGTTTTAAAAACTGAACATAAGTTTCATAATAATGGGCTATGTCAACGATGATTTTTGACAAAATTGTTTTAAAAAGGGTAGTAACGTAAGTCCTGTTCAGCACGATGTACAGCAAAGAAGAAAAATTACAACAGATCAATGCTATCTCTGTAATATCTCCTTTTCATTATCCAGATACACCAGTACCACAGTCCAATACATCCATAATATTGTTACGATTTTTTTATAATTACACAGCGATTATGTACAAAATAATTCCGGCGCAACTTGACTGGCTTCTCTCAACATTCGCTGGGCTCGACTCGACCGAATTGGCTGAATCTCCTGGTTCTCGAAGGTGGCCTCTATTTAAAGCCATACTTCCCTTCCAGAAGTTCCGCAGTCGAGGTTTTTCTGGAATACCCATAGCGACTTCCGCTTCCTGGCGAACGCTGAACGATGAGTTATCTATAATCGCCCTACATACTAGAACCCATAGGCGCCGTACCGGGGCGGCGTATGGATTTATTTCGTAACAATATCATTAAAAAAAATAATGTTGATGGTTGTGTTGCAGATTCACAAAAAAAAAAAGGATAAAAACTGGCCACGCACTTACAGAAGAAAAGGAATTAAATATTTTATTCTAACGAGTCTAGTGTCTACCTTTTCATGCCTCATCAAACCCCTCACTAAGAAACTACCAACTTAAACGATTGCTATTCACTAATTCGTTAGAAAAGCTATAGTTCCCGTCATGACTTCTTGGACATATCCGTCAATATAAAAAAAAATCAGTGTAATTCAAGCTTACTGTCACTGAGTGACGTTTCAAGATCTCAAGCGTAAGCTAAGGAAGTATTGTAATAGAATCCATCAAGCGACTGGCTGTTTTCACATTTTCTCGATGTGTTATAAGTTATAATAATCCCTAGAGTACAAAAAGACAGGTCTCCCGTTTCCGTGTGTCTGTCTGTCTGTCCGCCATCCATGTGAGTTTTTGTTAGACAGATTAGCTCAGAAACTACCGGACCAATTGTTATCAAATTTTATCTTTATCTAACCATCCCCACCAACAATGTGGTGACGTCATCTCAAATTTGTACGTAGTAAATTGGTGTAACTTGTAGTTTATGAATCCGTGTTGATTTTTTACCCGAGACATGCAGATTTTTGTAAAAAATCAAAATGGTATAGCAACATTTTTCAATTCAATTTTTTTCAAACTTACGAAACCGAATGCAAATTTTTAACCAAAATAGATCTGTTCAGAAAAAATAAATTATAAAATCGGAACATTAAAAATCGAAAAATTTGTAAAAAAAACATAAAACCGATATAAAAAAGTGTAAATTGAAAATCTGAAGAAATCAAAAATTATAGAATCGAAAAAAGTTACGATTAGCGTTTTTTTTGACATCCTAGATTCTATTATTAGTTTCCATTCCCACTCGATAGAAGAAAATGGTTAACCCCGCCCACCCACCCTGTTTCCTTTTCAGTGATCGATTTTATCCGAACTGAATGAAATGAATGATTTTATACTGAACAGAAACTAAATTAGTAATTAGAATGAGAAGAAGGTCGGTGGGCGGTGCTAGTACTTGCTAAGATAAGACTGAATTTGGCAAATAGCATATTTTCTAAGAAAATAGAGGGCGGGTGGGCGGTACTAGTGCTTGAGAATGATTTTGGCAGATGACATATCTTCCAAGAAAATAGAGGGCAGGTGGGCGGGGCTCGTGCCTGCTAAGATAATAATGATTTTGGCAAATAACTTATTTTCCAAGAAAATAGAGGGCGGGTGGGCGGTACTAGTGCTTGATAAGATAAGAATGATTTTGGCAGATGACATATCTTCCAAGAAAATAGAGGGCGGGTGGGCGGGGCTAGTCCTTGTTAGGATAAGACTAATTTTAACAAAAATAGTCACGATTAGCTTTTTTTTTCGCATCCTAGATTTTATTATTAGTTTCCATTCCCAACCGACAGAAGAACATAATTAGCCCCGCCCACCCACCCTGTCGCCTTTTCAGTGATTGATTTTATCTAAACTGAATGAAACGAATGATCTTATACTGAACAAAAACAAAATTAGTAGTTAGAATGAGAATAAGGTGGGTGGGCGGTGCTAGTACTTGCTAAGATAAGACTAATTTAAACAAAAAAGTTACGATTAGCGCTTTTTTTTAATGTGATTTGCCACTCCATTAATATACCTATAGTCAATTTATTATATTGAATAAATCAGCAATTGCAAAAGCGAATGCTTTGAAATCTTGTCGACGTTTGAAAGTTGTCGTAAGTATGGTAAAAAAATATATCTGTTTACTCCCCCCTAAAAATTGATGACGTCATTTCAGACTTTTGCCAAATAAGTCATATCTAAAATGTGCAGAATATGTGTTTTACTTGTTATTTATCAGTGCACGCATACTTTTTAAATTTGCTTATACAGGGTGACAAAAAAAAAATAATGAATCAGTCGATTTATTTTATTTATTGAATCAGGATCGACTCATTCCATTTTCCTGAAAATTTGGGAATACAACATTGTTTTTATTAGTATTACACTGCACCTAACTAAATTGATATAATGTACAATCGGTGGACATATAAAACTGGTACGTACAAAGAAAATTTTCCCAATGTGTATCAACCTTGATTCCCGGGACCGTTGCCGGCCAAATATGCGTTATCCATTTCATGTTTCTTATAATTTTTATGACAGTTTGTACCAGTTTTATATGTCCACCGATTGTACATGTTCTTGTAAAAATGTGGATGACGTCATCACATATTTTTGTAAAGGAAAAACTCATTTGAAACATACGCGTAGCACGCTTCTTTACATTTACTTTTAACATTACATACATATAGTTACGTATCTTAACTTATAGGGGTTTTCATAAAAATAAAATTCGCAAAATCAAATTTTATAATTTTTCGAAAAAGCTGCATATATTTTATTATACTCCGGGCGAGGGAAGTTCTGTCGAAATAACTTTGGATCAATTTTTTCTTTAAAATCTCTTAAAGGCAATCACTCAAAATCGTAAAATTTGTAATTTCACACTCATTATTCGCGCACTTTGGTGGCTAACTTGCGAAGTAAAATTTGTAGGTTTGTATTTTTCTGAAAGGTAGGTAACAGATATTCATATGAAAAATCACTCTGATCGAGTTGGTGTTGGAATTTCATTTGACATAAACGGCATGTTTATTCATAGCCTGTTATTATATATGAGTATGTTATAAGAATAGACATGCCGTTTATGTCAAATGAAATTCCAACAAACGACGACACCTCTGGTGTATGTTGACCGGTTATCAATTAGATAAAAAATGAAACACTAATTTTTTGAAGTTTGTTATAACGAACTGATCAGATTTTATTGTATAAAAATGAAACTTTACAATGATTATTATAGAAGTAAAGAAAAATGTTTCATGATTTATTATTACGCTCCAGCTCCGCGTTCCATGGGGTGGTGATCAGTGGCGGCCCGTGGCGGCAAATTCTCAGATTACAGCTTCGGCTATTTTCGGAGCGTAGTTCGAGTCTGCACTACATTATTGCATCAATCTTTGGTTAAGGCGTCAAGGCTGAATTTTCACGACTACGACCTGTGACTACGACTACGTTCCATTTCCATGCCGAAGCTAAGCTGTTTGCCTAAACAGTCCGGTCTGTGTTGGTCTTTACAATTAACATATATCAAACACTAGTTAGTGGATTTGATCTAAATGTTTTGTTCATGAATGTGAGATGTGACTGAAAGTCAGATTTAATAGTTTTTCTTCCGTTTTACACGTATTGGAACGTATTAGTGATGCTGTGATTGCTGTGCGGTAATATTAGCGAGGAACTGTGAGGTTATTGGCGTCTGCTGTGTACGGTTTTTGATTATTTTTTATCTGCATTAATTACGCCTTTTGGTACGTATGTAACTACTTTTGTAATAATCTACTTTTTTGGTTATGAAATACTGGAAATTTATGGTTGTCATATCATTTTCTATATTTTTGATTGGACATTTAATACCTCTGTAGTCTTTTATGGTGATGGTCCACATCCATTACTCAGGCTTGGGCTATTTTTTGTTTTTATGACACAGGATTGTGAGAGAAAGTGACCAAACACTTTATTATTATAACTTTATTCATAAAACGTCATATTTAATTTCCAACAAACCCTAATTTTCTAGTTGAGAGAGAATTTTAATAATTAGTCACAGCACTCTGCGTTAAAAAAAACGAATTTTAGTAGCATTGCAGTCATATGCGACAATAGTGTTTAGACCTGACTTGACTAATTCAGTCTAGCGAATTTTTTCTGTAATGAAACAGTTTTTAATTCAACAGTTTGTCATTATCAACTATATATTCTCCGTTTGTTTTTGTAAGACTGACCCCATGATCTCCTTTAGAATTATATTTAGCAGGACGCCATATATCGACATGTGTAATTTATTAGAAGCGTTCATTCACCAAATTTATTATATTACGTTTTATTTGCATTGCGGCTGTTGCTTACTATTATTAATACATAGCTTTGCTTTCCGGTGTAGATTTTAATTGGGGGTAATTCGACCTAAGTAGGTCACTTGAGTGGGTGGTCGAGAAAAGCATGCGGTGCGCTCACAAAGTATACGGAAGTTTTTTTCCGCATTAGTATTAAATCGCGTTCTGGACTTTACTTTTTTCCAATATGCTGAAGAGTGTAGTTTTTATCAGTCTGTTAAGCTGTGATAACCATAAACCATACGCACATGGAATGTCCTAATCATGATTTTTATAGCCAACTAAGCTTTCTCAAATAACAGTCATCATTATCAAAGGAAACCATGCACGAAGTATACATTTTTACAATTCAATAAATTCGTTATTTACAGTGCGTTGATTTCATTTTTCATAATTCCCCGATGGTAAGTCATTAAAAGTGAGTTTACGTTTTATAAACTGACGCAGATAATGGTGTTAAGCAAATTTGTGGTTTGAAGTGGGCTGTGAATCGTTGAACGTACGTCGGTTTCTGCGGCCAACGTAATAGTAATTTGTGGCGCAAGGCCGGAAAATGCATTTTTGGAAGTATGACTGATATAGCGGAGTCGAGGCGCTAGTCGAGGCAACCAACACAAGTTAGTACCTGCAAAAACATTTTATGGACGTACGTGGCACAAAATTTTGTGGGCGAGAACATAAAAAAAATAAATTATTTGAACAAAAATAATGGGTATTTAATTTTTTCCATTGGTATTAATTAAGATACCGAAAACATAATTAACGTGAAATATTTATTAGGTATAAAAAAACTGCAAAAAACAAACCCAATATGTATTTTTTTTTATCACAATTTGTCAGTTGTAAAACAAAAATAGCATTTCCTTTATTATTCATACGTGATACTTGTTACAAGTTCAGTACAAGTAAGCAGTCGTGCCTTCCACTAGTACTAAAATAAATCTAGTTTAAGTGATATTTTGAGACCTAGTAGTTCAAAAGTGGTTCGCCCGTTTTACAAGATCAGACGGAGGTCCACAAAAGTCATTTGACCATGCATTAGCTTGATGCACAGTAAGTACAAAGTGGAAACTTTATCGGACATGCATTGGTCCCGCGCGCTGAAACTAATTTAGTAGTGACATTGGAAGCGACTTCTAGCAAATTAAATGGGTATTAATTTTGATATTCATGATGAGAATTGTTTTAAGAAGCGGAAGCAAAATTATCGTAAATACATTATGTTAATCTATAATTGGATCTGTTATAAAATAAATACACCTTGCGGTTTAAGTTAAAAACTAGGAATAATCAATAATAAATGTATTTTTACTTTCCGAGTGTAAACTAGTGAACTAGGAGTATTGCAATAGCCTCAATTTGGTAAATGGCTATTTTTGCCGCTTTTGTTAATAACACAAGTTATAGTTACTATTTTAAAATAATATTTAAATGATTACATTCATTGGTAGCAGAGTTGACAATAAATTGCAACTATGTCTACCGCCTACGTAAATATGTGACGTTATGAATTTGCACAAGGTAATGGCATACATTACCTTGTGCATTACAATAGTATAATTAGTATAGATGGTAAAATTTGTCCAATCATCTCCACACCAATTTTCAAAATTTACAAGAGTAAATGTTTCAATTTTAAAAGATAAGATACTCCTACACTTATGGTTTATGAATCTGTGTTGAGTTTTTATCCTAGACATCCAGATTTTTGGGGAAAAAATCAAAATTGAATAACAATTGCAAATCCGAGTGTTTTGAAATCTTGCAAACTTTTTAGATGATCTTAGGGGCAGTAAATTGTTGACCAAAATTTAACCCCCGCACCAATAATGACGTCATCTTGCAATTTGGCGAATAAATGTTACCTAAATTTTAGACATGCAGATTTTTGGCAAAAAATTACAATTGTAACAGTATTTTGCAAAAGTGTAATTCTCAATGGTGACACTCAGGTCGAATAAAATGGACAAGGACTAAAGTAAAGTTTCCTTGATTGATTACAAAGTAAAGTTTGTCCAGAATTATAAGAATTTTATGGACTCCCAACGTTAATTCGTTTTACAACCCTATCGTCAATTCTATAGTACAGGTAAAGGGCCTGTCAGGAGAAAGTCGATGTTTTCTGTACCTGAGTTCGCCACGCTCTTCAGCTGTACAATAAAATTGACAGCAGGGCTGTAAAACGAATTAACTTTGGTAGTCCATAAAATTCGTATAATTCTAAACAAACTTCACCTTCTTCAGGTAGAAACTGTGTTGTAGTATCACACAATAAAATATGTTCAACTCAGAAAGTACTTACTTTTCTTAAGATAAAAGTGAATTAATGCTTGTTTTATGTATTTATTTAAATACTAATGAACTACATAAAGTAAACAGTTAACGTTCACCATGGTGTTTTGGAGGTTACAATTTTTAAACAAGTAACCGCCTCATCCGTACAAACCATTATTTTTTAAGAAAAATTAATATTTACATTTATCATGGGTAGATTTTAGATATAAAATTAAATATATAGAAATTGTCTTGTGTTTATCTTCTATCTATTTCAATTTTTGGATTTTTAAATACTTCGACTTTTAAAGTTTTCCACTTTCCGACTTCTCGTGTTTTTGATTTTTTACTTATTCGATTTGTCAAAATATTGCGACTTTTTAAATCTTACATTTCTCGAATTTTTAAATTTCAGATTCTTCTCTTTTTTGTTGTTTCGAATCTCAATCTTTCGATTTTTTACCTTCTCGTTTTTAGATTTTTCGATTTTTCAATTTTCGGAGTTGATTTTTCAGTTTTACGATATTTCGATTTTACAATTTTAGATTTAACGGTTTTCTTTCGAGATTTCGCCTTCCGTTTTTAGATTTTCCGGTTTTTCAATTCTTCCTTAATTTTTCAGTTTTTCGATGTTTCGATTTTTCACTTTTTGGTTTATCGTTTTTTTAAGGTAAACTTTTTTAATTTTGAATTTTCTTATTTTTAACCTCTTCTATTTCGCGATTTTTCAATTTTTGTCGTTTCTAAATTTTTCGATTTTTCGTTTTCTCAATTTCTCAATTAATGGATTTTTTAATTTTTCGACTTTTTGTTTTTTGGCCTGTCCGATTTCTCGATTTTCAAATTTTCGATGTTTAACTTTTGGGATTTTTCAATATGTATTTCGATATTTCGACTTTCTGGTTTTTTGATTTTTTGCTTATTCGACTTTCCAAAATTTTGCGATTTTTTAAATCTTACATTCTACAATTTTTTTATTTTTCGATTCGTTGATGTTTTGATTTCTTGATTTTGTAAATTTTCAATTTTTCGAATTTTTAAATTTTAGACTTTCCATTTTTTGTTGTTTGGATATCTCAGTTTTTCTATTTTTTGAGTTCTCATTTTAGATTTTTCAATTTTTCGATTTATCGGGTGTTTTAAGTTTTAATTTGTCAATTTTGAATTTTCCCATTTTTCGATGTTTAACTATTTCGACATCTCCATTTTTCAATTTTTCGACTTCTCGACTTATCGATCTTTTGATGTTTGGATTTCGCGTTTTTTCAGTTTTTCGATTTCAATTTCTCGATTTCTCAGTTTTTCGATGATTCGTCTTTTCGATTATTCGAATTCCCAATTTTTTGACGTTTCAGTTTTGGGATTTATGTACATATTTAAATTCTTCGAATTTTTAATTTTCCGATTTTTCGATTTCTTAATTTGTCGATTTTTCTGTTTAAGTTTTAGGATTTTTCAAGATTTCAACTTTAAAATATTTAGATTTTTCGACTTTCTGTTTTTTTGATTTTTTGCTTTACTCGATTTTTCAAAATTTTGCGAGTTTTTAAATCTCAACATTTTTCAACATTTTCATCTATCCGATATTTTAATTTTTGGATTTTTTGATTTTTACAATTCTTGATTTTTCAATTTTTCGGTTTTGACAATATGTATTTTGATTTCTCTAAGCGCCTGCAAGACTTCCTCGTTTAAACGCACAAAAAATTGGTCTAAAGTTATTTAGACTGATCTTTTCTCGCCTCGGATGTAAAAAATATTATCAGTACATGCTTAACTTCAATTGTTTATGTTTATGCATCGAAAGTATGCGACAATTAAGTACGCAGCAAGTTTTGTCCTCAAAATAGAGGAAGCGATTAAAATTATTAATTAAGCCAATATGTTAAATCGAAAATTGAAAAATCGAAATATCAAAAACCTGAAAAATTAATTCCGAGAAATTGAAAAATCGAAAAAGGAGACGGCAAAAAATCGAAATATTGAGAAAGAGAACCAACAAAAAAGTGAAAAATCTAAAATTTAAAAATTCGAAAAATTGAAAATTTAAAAAATTGACTACCTCTCTAATTAGTAGTAGACTAGGCAAATTTTAATTACCACAGTTGCTATGCTATCGGATTTGACGAGCACTTTTGGTGGAAACTTTTAAAATCCTTCAGGCATTATAATTCAATTTTTGTAGTATTTTTTTTTTTGTTGGCAGTTATACAAATATCATCTGACAAATACATATGAATAATTTCACATTTTATAGATTCAGGACTCATTTTATTGAAAAAAAAACTTTATGTATATAATATGGTATTTATATTTTTTTTTGAAAAAAGAACTCGTAAAATTATGAACTGAAAATGTGATTGTTCAAAACTCTTAGTGTCCTCATTGTACCGAAGCTAATTGCAGTACATTGTAAATTCAAAACTTCGGCCATGTTAGGGTGAAAATTTATTGTTGTTATTGCTTCTCAAAAACGTAACTTATCTAAATCACGGTTGTAATTATGAAGGTCGTTATGAGTTTATTTTTTGTGTAGGACAAGAGTTGCATTATTTTTCGATAATAACAAAGTTAAGCGATAAACTTCTTCATTTATATATTATTGTAAGTTTTTCAGTCCGCGGTCAAAATCATTCCCATCAACTGACGTCAATTTCTCGGTCAATTGATCAGGTCAATTTTAGGTAGGTAGGATTTATTTGCCAAAATTTTTTTGGGGGGGAGGATAAGCAAATATATTTTGATTAAAAATTTACCATGCTTATGATAATTCAAAATAAAATTGCAATTGTTATACGATTTTATTATTATTAGTTTTTTGATCAGGACATTTTGGGTAAAAACTCAATACTATGTTATTTTATACAGTTTAAAACCCATTTACTATGTACAATTTTGAAGTGACGTCACCACATTGTTGATAGGGATGATTAGACAATCGTTTTACCATCTACATGATATTCATAATACACATATGTATAAAAATTGTCAACAATCGGTCCGGTAGTTTCGGAGAATATTTGTCTAATAAAAATCGTCACAGATGGACTCCGTTTCAATGCTTCTTTAGGTTACTCTCGAGAAATAAAAGGTGAAGCAATAATTGATCTTTTTTAGTTTTTACAAATGGTACCGACGTCATATTTCTTTATATTAAATTGCCATAATTGGTGCTTGTGGTGGTCTTAGTAGTGTTTTTCTGTTTTAGTGTGTTATTAATTATTATTATCATGACATAAGCAGTGAACACAAAAAAGTGCCACATTGAAGACCAATCAGTTTTGATAACTTTTCTATGATTGAGGTGAATAAGTGTTTAATGTTGTTACGAATTAATTGTTTTAAAAGAGTTCTGTAGGAAACGTTTATTATAAACAAATGCAAGGAGTTAATACTTTCCTGTTTATAACTGTTAAACAGTTTACACAACAGTGTAAATTGTGTGATACAAAATAAGTTTGCGTGTTTTTCAAGTATCGCTGAATGTAAAGTTTTTATTAAATTTAGTACAAACTTAGATAATTTTCCATGCAACACCAGACACATGTCATTTAAAAGTATAATTCCATTGTGTGTATAGTGGAAATACTTTCAGAAGAACACCAGCGAAGTACCTCAGTAGGCGGTAAACTTCGGACGGGTCTATTTGCAAATTTAGGGGGAGGAAACTAGTCTGGTTGTTATATAGTTTTCGTCGTTTTGTTTTGTGTTGGTACAATTTCACTCCTGTGATTTATAGTAACTCTGTGTCCTTGTATTCACGTCTGATGCGTATTCGTCTCGTGAATAACGAAATTTAAAATACGGTAGATAAAATTGACCAAACGAATAAATGATTTTAATAGTTGTTTAATAATTGTTTCGTGACTGTTAATGGATTTCTTCATTACAATGAGTGTAATTTATGATCATTGATGTTATGTTTACAAGACTAAATAAACGGTTTATTAAAGTTTTTAGTTTAATATTACCAATTTATATGGCATGTGTTCATTGAAATTCAAATGACCTTTGTCCTATCACTGAGGTATTTTTCATTTTATTAATATGCTTATGTTCGCTAAAAAGTTGATTCGTCATTGCAAAAAATTGTTTAATACAGTGTGTCTCAAATGTGCATTGGTGTGTTCTGTGTAAAGATTGCTTTAGTTGTGATCTGATATTCTGTCTTGCTGTTGCATTTTGCCAGTGGTCAATGACCCATTTTGGATTTCTTTACCTGCAAATCCTTCAGTTTTTGTACAACCAATATAAATTGTAAATATTCAGTGTTTCCATTGCCGTCGAGAAATAAATACGAAACCGAACAATGCGGTTTATCATTTATCATTATCACAATATCAACGGTCCTTTGAGTGCAATGCCAAACACTTGACTTTGTTGATTACAACTATCTCTTAAAAATTGTAATCCTAATATTTATGACAGTGCTATATACTATATGTCTAAAAAAAATTCAAAGTCATTGGGATCGAATTTTCTTCTTCTCTGAAGCACCATTCGTTGTATGTACTTTCTAAGTGATGAAAGTTCGGTACAAATGACTGCAGATTTTACCGCAAGTACAATGCACAATGAAATCAATTTAATTTAATTAATTTATTAACTACAAATTCCTTTAAAAATAATTATCACTAACTAATATAGGAGTATAAGAATATGGTCATTTATGTTATAAAACCACTATACAGCAAAACCAATGTTGTAAATGACTTTTTTGACGTTGTTTGTGAATACATTCTTCACCAATAATCTAAAAACGCTTGATTCAATCGAATATGCTCTGCACAAAACATATTTCTAATCGATATATTTCCACTTGATTAGCTTCTAGTAACGTTAGTCGAACGAAAGTGTCTATTGGAAGGGGAAAAGTGTAATCTAATTTATGCCAAATTTCATTTACTTACTTTAAGAAAAAGACACGGTATTTTCATTTATGATTGTTCTATTAGTACATGGAAAACACTTGTTAACTGTAATAAAATTATTTTTTGCAAAATGAGACAGCTTTTTACAACGATATGTACAAATACATAAACGTAGTTGGAATGATCAGATCACTGTTTTTTCTTAAATGTTTAATTAAATTTAGAAAATAAACTTAAAAAATGGTAAAAAACGGGCTTGTTGTCGATGAACCGGAAAAGTGCTACAACCGAGTTCAAATTTTGACGTTGACCTCGTTGTTAACTAAATGTTAGCTTCATTTTATTCATGGCATAAAGTAATAGCCAAACATGTTTCTGGAATGCTGATAGCATTACTAACTACGTATTTTGTAATAGTTTTTGTGAAGTATTTTAAAAGATTCCAAAGCGAAATACGTCGTAGCTTTCTAACTTGCTTCCCTGTTTAATGATTTTGCTTGTAATTTTTACTACACAAGCCAAAATAAAACCACGAAGAGTTATTATTTCAATAACTGTAAGAATTTTATTTTTAACGTGACTTGTTTTGCGGCATTTTCGTGAAATGAAATTCTTTTGTGTCGGGTGAAATCGGCTGTGACCACCAGCTATTAGATATAATTCAGATGACATAATCATCATTCCTGCATTTATAAGCACTAGAGTAACATTCAACAGCAGCACTTGTCATTTTTAATTTTTCAATACCGCGACATTGAATGGTCCACGATCGTTTTCATTAACATTAAAAAAAACTGTGTGGTGATTTGTATAAATTTGTAATCATTATAATTTTTTTTTCAGATTGAGATGGCAGCTCATGTAATCAGTGTGTGCGTATTTTGTTTGATTTGTGCTACTCACTCCCCTTGTGGTTCCCATGCAGCCGTGGCCCATGAAAATCCGCAAGTTCACAATTACCACAATGTACACAATCCAACGATTATCAAAAGAGAAAAATTTAAAGAAAAGGATCCCTGGGACAATAGTGTGTTAAATATTAGTGGTGAAAACACTAAAGTGCATGTTCTTAATAAACGACAGAGTGATGACAGTAGCGATATTAACGTTAACAATAAAAACTTTTATCTTAAAAAACTATTTGCTAAATACGGTGACGGAAAGACACTGACTATCGACGGTTTTCAAAACTTACTCGACCATTTATTCGAACTTCAATTATTAGGGAAACATTTGAATCATACTGAGGCTTCCAGTGAGCCGCAGACTAACGACACGGTAAGAATGGTTTTGAAATATCTTTAAAACGAAATTTGGCGAATCCAACCAAGACAGTGAAGGGACACAATATTCTTCCACGAGCATACTGCACTGCACTGCACTGACTGCTTACTGGAACAATTCGCTATTTGTCGTTTGATGTATACTCTACTGCTTTAGTTAGACTCGCCAAATTTCTGTCAAAAGATATCACTGACTGCTGCCATTTTAGTGTTTTATAAATAAATCATTAGTGGCGGTCTCAAACTCATCATCCTCGAATAATCAGACTGACGCTTTAAATTACACAACGATAGATACTCTATGCCCCGCAATACTCTACAGCATCGTATCTGGAAGTTGTACGCACAACGTATTAGGTTTAGGTGTAAAAGAAGAAAGTATTAGGCACACATCAACCAGTGTAAGCACGTGGTTGTACTCTATGGGTGCCGTATTCGTAATTAGTGCATGCGGAGTCCTGTCACTGCTAATTATCCCTGTGATGCAGAAGAAATTCTACAAACCGCTTCTTCAGTTTCTGGTAGCTTTAGCTGTAGGCACGCTGGCTGGCGATGCTTTGTTGCATTTATTGCCACACGCTATGAGTAGCGGTCACCATCACGACCACGGGCATGAAGAGAGTCATGAGAATATGTGGAAAGGATTTGTTGCTATGCTAGGTTTGATTCTTTTCTTCGTCATGGAAAGATTTATACCACTGGTGCATAGGTGGAGAAAGGGTAAACCGCAGAAGGTATTAACTGAAATACAGTTTTGTCAATAACAACTCAACCTATATGTGTTTTAGAGCCATTCTCATGTCAAGGTGTTGAGCAGTGGTTTAGATATCAATAAAGCGGCTGATACTCAGTGTAAGGATAGGTATAATGCATATCCTCGTTGCTATAAAGACATCGTTGATGACCCAAGTGAGTTTTGTTTTTTATTATCACTTTGTTGAGTGTCTTTATGCAGTCCTCGTCAAAACACAGTTCACATGTGGCTATGTTTTTAGATACTACGTTTTTAGAGGCTGGTGAAACATCTAATGGACTGGAAGAGTTGTTAAGTACAAGAAAGAAAAAGCCTCTTAAACAAGTAAGTTTCGTATATATCTAATTAAATTAGTTTGTTTTTAATACGTATTGTCTCTTGTAAGATTTATGCCGGATTGGTTGTGTGTTTAACAACTAAGTACGGATCTTTAGAAACAAAAAAAAAGGTCTAACGTCACTTAGACACAACTTTTCCCAGTTCAACAAATGCCGCTTTCAAAATTTCATTTTTTCACCGTTCTAAATGAAGATAAAGAATTTTATTAAATATTAATAACAACAGTATTGTATCAGAGAAATGGGTGAATCGTTGTTGATTTGACCATTGAAATAAATTGTTTAAACGTATTGTAAAAAATATGAATGCGTTGATAATTGCCATGTATAGACTTTTAGATAAGATTTATTCAGCAAAATTTTTGAGATGACCGATGACCGTCAAGTTTTTGAGAGAAATAAATACATAAATTTTGAATTGATAATTTACCATGCTTACGATAACCTTAAAATCCCTGCGAGATTTCAAAAAATTCGGTGAGCGGTTTCTAAATTAAATTGTAAAGTGTTATCAAATTTTCATTTTCTTCCCAAAAATCTAGAGATCTAGCGTAGAAAATTAATAAACTACAAGTATAGGGATATGTTATTTTATTAAATTTAAATATTATTTACTTTGAAAAATTTTGAGATGACCTCATCAAATTGTTGATGGAGATGAACAGATAAATTTTAGCGTTTTATTATGTAGTAAAATTTCACAACAGTCACTTTAGTAGTTTGGGGAGTTATCTGTGTAATAGAATCGACACAGATAACAGACAGACAAACGGAAGTGACATATCTTGGGAGGGAGTCGCGAAAACAGGAAAGTAGCCGTTCGTCAGATGAACCCTATTAACCTATTACGACCCTTCCTCGGGACGTATATATTACTTTTAAACGTTCTAAATTTATATATTTATTTACTAGTTGAACTTTCATAGAGAAAGCAACATCAGCATTAAAATTCCAATGATATAATACCAATCCTTTTATTAAGTAAACAAAGTAAAAAAGAAAAGTATAATTCTGATAAAGAGAAAACACAAGTTTCTGGGACATCAATAAATAGATAAGATAATGCAATTCCACATTTCAAGTTTTTCATGGGAACGTAAAAAAAACGTATAAGAACTCAAGGGGGCGTTGAAGTAGATTCTTTTGTCGGTGCGGATTACTAGCACGAAGGTCTTTACTTGGATGGGCGACTTACCTGAATAAATTAACTCAGAGTGGTCGTCTTTTGGCTGTTATTTTTTATTTTCTATTTTGCAGGTAAATGTTACAATTGTCTAAATAATCTTCACTATCTTTTTATATTAAGTAAGGTATTATATTGATCAATATAAGCCAGTGGAATAACAGATAATGAAACTACCAATTTAGAGGTAACATATTTATTATATTAAATATTTTCAAAACGGGCAGACAATTTATACATGAACAATAGAATATAGTACAATTTATGGTAATAACAAATTAAAAGAGAAGCATGGAATAACATTCGAAATTGGACGAACGAACTTATAGATAGACAGAAAAATAGATTATGTAAAAATAATATAAAATAGCAAAAATAAAAGAACAAAAATAACGACGAATGAATACAATTAAAAATAACCATCAGTCTTATTAAATTTAAAATTATTTGTTGTTGTTTCTCATTTACCACAAGCTTTTTTAAGAATATGTTCATGTGTTGTTGTAACAGATGGGGTGACAGCTTTAATGTAGTTGGGGAAGAATCTTGCCAGTGGCAACATGATTGTCTCTTAATTATAATCCTTTTATTTATGAGTGGTGGCGTTAAGCTCTTCAGGCATATACCTGCTCTTATCAGTCTTATCTCCACAAACTAGAAAATTACCCAGCTTGTAAAATATTTCCGAATCTGTTTTTTTGGCATGTGATTTAAAGTTTATTTATTAGCCGATTTTGGTTTTTCAAAAACAAATCTACTTTAAAGTAAATTTAAACAGATCTCTGTACGTAAAATTAGGAAATTTTCCTTACAATAAAAACACTCAAAATTGTACGGATTGTAAAGCGTAAAAATATGTTTAAATTTAGTTTTTTCAAAAAACTAAAATATTGTAATTTTGTTTTCTCGATGTTCATAGCTTGTATTTTACGTGAGAAGTAATTTCCAAAATTATTTAATTACTTTGAAGTTTTCTAAAATTCATCTACTCTTTCTCCTCCACAAAACTAACATTGTTTTAAAGATTACAAGTCATTGACTAACATTTGATGGTTTCAAAAATTTATTTAATAAATATAATTATATAGAAAAATCTCTAACGTATAGTGTTAAATTGTGTCAAAGTGTCTCTTTGTAGTTATATTTTAATTGCAAGTAGTAATATTTTCAAGGATGTACATACAAGTGATAAAATAACCCACTACTTGATGCCAACGACATACTGAAAAATCGACGACGAATTTCTTTACGTATTGTAATTACAGAAAATATTTGTAATCGCAAAATATGATCAAAAACTGAAATGTGTCCCAATTTACCGCTCACCTTTACAGCAACTGTCAATACTGGCCAAACATCAACATATCGACATCAGTTTGACAATTCTGTTATAACTCATGCTTTGACAGGACAACCATTTGTAGACATTTTTCCTAACAATGTTGAAAAGCTGGAATCTGACGAAAAAATGTAGTCATAATAATAATTATACTGATACAACTATACACCAAGCAAACAAATAAATAATACGTACATGTACTTAATACCACCACGTGAATATTGATTACAACGGCCACGTCACTAATGATAATAATCAGAGTACGAATGTAGTCGTTTCACTGAAGGCTAACTTTATTGAAAATTACTTGAAAAATTAAAAACGTAATAGATTTTAGGGGTACTTGGTACTACATTATTAAAAACTTAAAATATGCATTAATAGTTGAGTGTGTTGCATGATTATAATTTTACTTCATGGATTACACGATCAGTAATCGTTCCCAAGAATTCAAAAAAGGAATGGATTGTAGAAGAAAATTTCTCTTTATCACTGCATCTTTCGGAAGTTTATCCGTTACGTTTTTGTATATGCACATCCATCACATTTTGTGTTAACAAACATATTTTTTGACGTCAGAAATAGCATTTCATACATGTTGTTACAAAATACACAATTTCCCATGAGAAACAGGAAAAGAAAAGAGCAACTCAAATTAAATTTAAAGCCGATCAGGTTACATGCACCTACCTGTATAAGGTGTATGTATATCTAGAGTAGATCTGTGCAGATGGATCTCAGCATGTGTAACTGATAGTTGGTAGTGATAAACTTACTCTTTTTCTAACTTGTTTTTATGTTAAGGAACAGATTTTTTTAGTATTTCTATAAAATGCAGTTAAGTGAAAAAATGGTCGAAATTTATTTCCTGAAGTACAAGTCCATCAAATCCCGCTTCTTTGAAAATTATGAAATTAGATTTTGCGATGTTTGTTTTGTGATAACTTCTATAAAATGAAAACCAGTGGCAGCCCCTGTGTCATAAGGCGGAAATTGCACAAGTACGGACAGCGTAAAATTATTTGTCTAATAAAAAATGACACAGACGCCAGCCAGACAGACAGAAATGGGAGATCACTTTTTTCGTACTTTGGGGGTCATGAAACGTCGAGAAAACATAAAAGTGGCCATTCGTCTGATGGATTCAATTACTATCCTTCCCTAGCTTACGCTCAGGAAGTAAAAATGAATGTTACAGTTGTTGACGTCAATCCTAAGCTCTTGTATCGTTAGATGTAAGGCGGGTGGGCGTTAAATTAAATATGTGGTTTTGCATTTTCTTTTCTACATCTTTACGCTTTTATGGAATGTTCTTTTTCTATAGTTCTTCGTTTATTCTATCGATCTACGTTCGTCTAGGTTTTCTATTCTAGTTTTTACCCAGTGCTATGGTTTGGTACACTCTTTGTACTTCTTGTTCTTTCTTGTTTTTCCAATTCATATTCATATTATTGCTTTATCCAGTGTATAGTTATTATCTAGATATAAAAGTCACATGCATTTGTAGTTATTCACTAGTTTTATTTTTTGTCCCGCTACTCTATTTGATTTGATTCTTCATATTTAAAATATTAATACTTTTTGTTTTTCATACGTTCATTTGTATTTTAGTTCTGAGCAGTGCGTTATTTACTATGTAATTGTAATATTTAAACAGTGACGTTTACTCATGTTGCTCGCAAAAGCGTCATAAGTCAAATGAAAATATCTCAATGGAAAAAAGCTGGAAGGTAATATATTTTTTTAAATATCAAAAAAGATCCTTTGCGAAAACACATCCAAATCTGAAGTTAATTTAAATGCGGTCGTAAGTCATCTTATGTAAAATACAACGCTAATGGGTTTTACACGCTGCCAACTCAAGTTGGAATTTTCTAGTATAAATCACAACATATATTTAATGCCTGTTTATAAATTTTATTGAATCCTGCAAATAGCTAAAGTTTTGGACAATTTAAAAAAAAAGTGAAACATTTACTTTTGGAAAATAAACGAAGAGAATTTAGCAACATTGTGTTGTTTGTTCTAAGAAAGAACAAATCTCGATCAAATTGGGTTTGACGATTACACAATTAATGTAAAACTGCTGAAAATTGTCGTGTATTTTTGTTGTAAAATTCAGGAATGAAATTTGACAAAAACGTTAGCAACTACATGAAGTTTTTAGATTACCAGAGGATATTCTATGAGATTACCGATACCTGGTTAAAAAAGTGAAGCATTGTGGTTGACACTTATTTACACAGATTTCCTATATTTGCAGTTTCCGATAAGACTGACTAGATTACTTTTTCACTTGACGTTATCGACTTTTTGGTGAGGCTAAATAAATAATTTTTCTGTGTACAGTGTGACACTAAGCGCAACTGTGTCACCAGTTTCAGAGATAATCGATAAAATAAATCGAGTCATTCCTACTAAAAGTACATATTGTATTTAGCAAATAATTGCTTAAAATAACGTCATCAATTTTTCGCATGGGATGAAAAATATATCCTTCGCCCTTAAAATTGTTTGAATATACTTTAGAGCGTCTTACTTGTGTTTTTAATTTCACTTAACGTATTCATAATTTTCTAGTTCAAGACAGATCAGTCGTTTACAGTCATGTCAGAAATATTTTTTTTCTCTTTATTTAGAATGCTCTTTGCGGAAGAGGCGAAATGGCAAAATCAGAGGCTACTACCAAAGATAAAGAAAACGGCGAGACTAACCAAAACATGACCGAGTGTCCCAACGATCTAAACTCATCTAATAATTGTACTGAAATAAATAAAATGTTGCCTCATATTGAGGTCAGCGGCCATGAAGAACCTGAAGCTGACTACACAGTCATACTAACTGAACACGGTGCAGTCCACCACGGTCATTCCCATTTGCATGGCCATGTCCATGCAGCTCCCCAGAATTTCTCGTCTGTGGCATGGATGGTCATAATGGGAGACGGCTTGCACAATTTCACTGATGGTATGGCGATAGGAGCCGCGTTTTCTGGAAGCGTAGCTGGAGGATTTTCTACAGCAGTCGCAGTGTTTTGTCACGAGTTACCCCATGAAGTTGGAGACTTTGCTATGCTTCTGAAGGCCGGGATGAGCATCAAACAGGCGTTGTTCTACAATATAATCTCGAGTATTCTGTGTGTCTTAGGCAATCTACTTGGAGTGTGGTTAGGTATGTTGACTGTGGTGTGCTACATGAATGTGTTTTTTGAATTGATTTTTATAGGGAATACTGAAGTGGCGAGTTCTTGGGTGTTTGCGGTAGCAGCCGGTACTTTCATTTACATCGCTTTGGTGGATATGATTCCAGAATTGAGTTCTGCTCATGAAGATGAAGGAAACCTCATACAGTCGATCTTACATTTAAGTGGTTTACTTTTGGGTTTTGGGATAATGACTTTAATTGCTCTTTATGAACATGATCTGAAGAATATGTTTAAGGATTAATTTTTTATATTTATTTTCTAATGGCTGTTTTAAACTAATAGTGAGTTAAATATCGTGTAAAGAAACTATTTACAAAGACCCCATTTTTACGAACTATTTGACGTCCCCTCTTCCTTCTCTATTACTTGTAGGTATTAGGTCTAGTAAAGACGTAACTACCTATTGTGTACACTTTTGTGTAAGAGAACAGTATCAGAAAAAATAAAATTTATTTACAAACATGTGTTTAATTTAAAAAATCCTTAACACTTTAAACATAAAACTAACATTAGCCTTGAACAATTATTTTTAGATTTTATTTGAAATATGTCTAGTCATGTGTAATTTTTAACCACTTTCAGTAGTCAACTTTTGCTTATCCTGTGTTTATGTAAATATGTCTAGTGAAATGAGCCGTATGTTGCTTGAATTGCATATTGTTAATTTTGGGACTCAATTTTTTTTTTGGAAAATTTAAAACAATCTTGAGGTTCTCGGTATTCCTGCTTGGAGAGAATTTGAAAGTGGTTTGCAGACTCTTGTGTCTCTTCCTATAATGATTTAATTCAATTTCTTATGACGTATCCATCAGTCTTATCTTAGTAGATGCTAGGCCCGCCCGCCCACCCACCCTCTCTTTCCTTAGAGGGTATGTCATTTGCCAAAATAAGTCTTATCTTAGTAGGTACTAGCTAAGAACAATCCATTAAACCATAACCAACTAAACACTAGAGATGTTCAAAATTCCTGTCTTGTGCATATAACTACATAAGCTCGTAATATTTCCAAATTTTGATCATTTTTTGTAAAAGTTAGCCATCAGTACTTGCTAAGATAAAACTGATTTCGGCAAATGACATACCCTCTAGGAAAAGAGAGGGTGGGTGGGCGGGGCTAATACCTGATTAGATAAGAATGATTTTGCAAATGACACCCTCTAAGAATAGGTGGATGGGCGGGGTTAATACCTAATAAGATAAGAATGATTTTGCAAATGACATACCCTGTGAGAAGAGAGCGGGTGGGTGGGCGGTACGAGTACCTGCTAAGATAAGACTCTGACCTGACCTGTTTTTGAGTCAATTTTTTTTTGTAAAATTTAAGAGAATCTTGAGGTTCTAGGTATTCCTGTTTGGAAAGAATTTGACTGTGCCTTGGAGTCTCTAGTAACTTTTCTTATAATGATTTGATTAAATTTCTTAGGGATACGTCATTTGCCAAAATCAGTTTTATCTTAGGAGGTACATACTAGCCCCGTCCACCAGCCCTGTCTCTTAGAGAGTATCTCATTTGCCAAAATCAGTTTTATCATAGCAAGTACTGATGACTAACTTTTACAAAAAATGATCAAAATTTGGAAACATTACGAGCTTACTTATATACACAAGGCCTGGAATTATCCATTGTATTGTACACCATATCAAATTTTAGACGATTTTTCAACCACTTTCGAAAATTAACCAATGCGATTAGGCGTTTCTAATTTGCAGACCACAGTTTATCTTGCAGACTGGGAGTTAAAAATGCTCCAATCAAGTTGAAACTCAACAATTGCTTATTTCTCAATACGAAGATTATTGACACAAAATTTCAACCCGATCGGAGAAACCGTTAAAAACTACCCCCAAAACAACCTTGCAGACTGGCACTTAAAAATACTCTAATCAGGTTAAATTTTGACATTTGCTAGTTTTTCAATACGAGGATTATTGATGCAAAATTTCAGCCCATTCCGAGAAACCCTCAAAAATCACCCCCAAAACAACCTTGCAGACTGGGGGTTAAAAATGCTCCAATCAAGTTAAAACTCGATATTTGCTTATTTCTCAATACGAAGATTGTTGATACAAAATTTCAAGCCGTTGGGAGAAACCCTTAACAACCACCCTTAAAACAGATTTGCAGACTGGGGGTTAAAAATGCTCCAATCAAGTTAAAACTCCATATTTGCTTATTTCTCAATACGGAGATTGTTAATACAAAATTACAACCCGTTCGGAGAAACCGTTACAAACTACCCCTAAAACAACCTTGCAGACTAGGGCTTAAAAATACTCCAATCAATTCAAAATTTGACATTCGCTAGTTTTTCAATACGAGGATTATTCATGCAAAATTTCACCCCATTCGGAGAAACCCTCAAAAATCATCCCCAAAACAACCTTGCAGACTGGGGGTAAAAAATGCTTCAATCAAATCAAAACTCGATATTTGCTTATTTCTCAATACGAAGATTATTGACACAAAATTTCAACCCGTTCGGAGAAACCGTTAAAAACTACCCCCAAAACAACCTTGCAGACTGGGGCTTAAAAATACTCTGATCAAGTTAAACTTTGACAATCCCTAGTTTTTCAATACGAGGATTATTGATGCAAAATTTCAGCCCATTCGGAGAAACCCTCAAAAATCACCCCTAAAACAACCTTGCAGACTGGGGGTTAAAAATGCTCCAATCTAGTTAAAACTCGATATTTGCTTATTTCTCAATACGAAGATTGTTAATACAAAATTTCAACCTGTTCGGAGAAACCGTTAAAAACTACCCCTAAAACAACCTTGCAGACTAGGGCTTAAAAATACTCTAATCAAGTCAAAATTTGACATTAATTTATTTTTTTATTATTTTATTGTTAATTATTAATTAATTTATATTTAAATTTAAAAAATATATAAATTACGAATACATATAGGAGTATTTGTTACAGATACGTGAATTGTGATAATTTGAGTTCATGTTTATCGCTGTTAGATAATTGTTGCTACTATGTAAGAATGCATAAGTTGGGCATTTTTTCGTCCAATCTCTCATTTTTTGTGCGTTTTTACACGTCATTTTTGCTGTTAACTTGGTTCATTCAGTACATACTATATGCTGGTTTTGAGTTCTTTGAGATATAATTAAACTTTCATCATCAGTCAAAAAATACAAAGTTAGTGGTGTCCAAAAGAGAAAATTTAAAATTCAGAGGAGGCAAAATCTTAAAGATATTTTAAAGAAAATTAGAGACATTTTTAATTTCCGAGAAACCTAACGTAAAAAAAAAACGTTTTGAGAAAAAATTTAAATTAATAATAGGAAGCTCAAACTTAATTTTATTTGAATTTCAAAAAGAACCCAGAAATATGCTAATTTCTTAATTAATTATTATTAATGGGAAAACAAATAAAGATTCGTTATATTCAATACGACGCAAAATTGTCTTACAGCCTTTGGATGGTGTCCACGTCCATTTCTCTAACTGTCTGGTAAATTGTTCTTTTTAATTGTTCTTCTAAATTGGCTTCCCAGCCGTTGTTGTAAACCTTTCTACTTAGTATTCCCCAAATTTTGTTTTCGATTGTTCGCACTGGGGGCACTATGGGGGGATTACCTTTTCTTAGGTACAAAACTTATATTATTGCTTTCTAACCAATCCCTGGACGTTCTAGTATAATGGCAACTTGCTAAATTTAGCCAAAATATTACATCGTCGTTATTATGGTGTTCCCATATATTGTTATGTATTGACCGCGTCACCTTTAGTACGGCCAATGAATTGTGCTGAAACGCCGGCCGGAGATATAGCCCATCAAACCAAAATTTTATCTTCAAATTTTGCCTTCGACTTAAATTTTACTTTTAATTTCTTCTATATTGTTTGTATAAAATCCATCGTTACCTTCCATCTCTGAATGGGCAAATGTAAAATATTTTTCATCGCCTAGCACAACCACACGATTGTCCAGAAAATGATGAATTCTCAATAGCCGGCAACATCTAAGAATTCTCTCTAACTGCGATGCTGTATGTTTTGAACATATAGCTCTTTTGCTGTATTTTAAGTTGTTTTTGCCTATTTCTCTAGAAACTATTATATAGGAACTCTAAACAATCGAGCCAATCTTCTTGTTGATGTTCCAGGCTCTTGTCTTTCTTCTTAATCTTTCTAAACTTATTGTGGTATTGCTACCTCGCAGTCTTTAATTGTTCTGTATATAGTTGCGCGTGTAATATATTTGGTCCAAAATATATTCACAATTTCACTTTTAGATACTTGGGTAACTAACTGGTATATGGCTCTTTGCAACTCTATTTTGTATGACATTGTTTAAGCGTTAATTGACATAAATCTATGACATAAATTGTATAACATGGGAAATAAGAAAGTTTGTTTGGTTGCGCTGTTGCAAATGTAACTTGATTCGATTGCATTTTAAGTTCAAAAAAAGATAGGAGTATATGTAAATTTTTCTCAAAACTCTTTTACGTACTAGCGGTAAAAGTGACATAGAATTGGAAAATCTTAGTAAAAGTAAAGACGACGACAGTTAAGACTAATCTAGTTGAGTGCATGTATTTAGGGAAATTTTAGTTGTATTGATAAATTAAATTCTTAGATGGAAATAACGATATAGATATGAAAATTCGAGAAAAAAAATATAGAATTTGAAAATATATATGATTTTAATGGCACTACATACCTTATTTATAAACTGTTGACACATGATGTACAAATTAACAAAAAAAAAGAAAACAAATAAACCCAAAATTTAATTTAATTTAACAAAATAACAGAAACAGACCAACTAGGATATTTTCTTAATTAAAATAATAAAGGAGGCTGTTGTTGTAAACAGTGTTTTTCATCATTTGATTATAAGTTTGGCAGTTAATAAACGTTTTCACGCGAAAATAATGCCGTTAACTCTTACAGACGTCTCCCAAATTGTCGCTCTGTTTCTGTTATTTTGTTAAATTAAATTTAATTCTGCGTTTATTTGTCTTCTTTTTTGTTGCTAATTTATACACCATGTGTCAACAGTGAATGGTTCTTTAATAAAACAACGATCACTAGTTAAATTAACAATTTCTAAAGTTTGGTTTCGCGAAATTTTACAGTGTGGCAGGTTTTTTGCCGGTCAGTGTATGTACATTAAAATACAGTTATAAAAGGTAACAAAACAACATTTTTCATAATTAACAATGCATATTAAGATCATTAGGTGATTAATTATTGTAGGAATTAGCTCGGTTTGCGCAAAGGTGGAGATAACACAACGACCGTAGCAACGAATCTTAACCAATTAAAAACTCAAGTAAATTTGCTGCTGCTGCTTTTATATGCTTTCTTATGAAATTATTTTTGTTTTATGCCTAGTATCCCGCAAACGCTTTCGAGCATGCCACTGGAACAACCAGTTTCTCGGAGGACCTGGAAGAACCATTTATGACCCTAGTAGAAAGCGCGGTACCAGGCATTTTTTCAATCAATCTTCCCTCCTCTCATTCTACCTCTATGGTGCGCACCTACTTTAGACATAATGTACTGTCTCTTTATGTGTGTCTGAAATTTTTCTGCTACTTGTACTTTAAATGAATGTCAACTATCAATCATTTTTATAAGTTGCTTCAAGGTGACTAAAATTTGACATGATAATTTTTTTGTGTAAAGAACTCAGCAAGTGGTAACTTTCGACTCAATTGGAGTATTTTTAAGCTTCCGTATGAAAGATTGCTTTGGTGTACTTGTTAAGAGCAGCTTAAAAAAGACTGGTTTTTTTGCATTATCACTTCTCGTATAGATAAAAACTAAACACCAAGTTTCGATTTGGTAATAATATTTTTAAGGCCCAGTCTTCAAGGTTATTTTGGGGGTAGCTTTTAACGGTTTCTCCAAACGGGTTGAAAATTTGCATCAACAATCTTCGTATTGAGAAATAAGCAAATCTCGAGTTTTGACTTGATTGAAGTATTTTTTACCCCCAGTCTGCAAGTCTGTCTGGGGGTAGTTTTTAAGGGTCTTTGCGAACGGGTTAAAATTTTGTGCCAACAATCTTCGTATTGAGAAATAAGCAAATGTCGAGTTTTGACTTGATTGGAGTATTTTTAATCTCCAGCCTGCAAGGTTGTTTTGGGGGTGATTCTTGAGGGCTTTTTCAAATAGGCTGAGATTTCGTATCGATAATCCCCATATTGATAAACTGGCGAATATAAAATTTTGACTTGATTGGAGCATTTTTAATCCTCAGTCTGCAAGGTTGTTTTGGGGGTGATTTTTGAGCGTTTTTTCGAATAGGCTGAAATTTTGTATCAACAATCTTCGTATTTAGAAATTAAGAAATATCGAGTTCCGACTTGATTGGAGCATTTTTAACCCCCGGTCTGCAAGGTTGTTTTGGGGGTGATTTTTAAGGGTTTCCCCGAACGGCTTGAAATTTTGTATCAACAATCTTTGTATTGACAAATAAGCGACTGTCGAGTTTTGCTTTGATTGAAGCATTTTTAATCCCCAGTCTGCAAGGTTGTTTTGGGGGTGATTTTTAAGGGTTTCTTCGAATAGGCTGAAATTTTTGTACCGATAATCCTCGTATTGAAAAACTAGCGATTGTTAAATTTTGACTTGATTAGAGTATTTTTAAGCCCCAGTCTGCAAGCTTGTTGTGGGGGTAGTTTTTAACGATTTTTCCGAACGGGTTGCAATTTTGTATCAACAATCTTCGTATTGAGAAATTAAGAAATATCGAGTTTTGACTTGATTGGAGCATTTTTAACACCCAGTCTGCAAGGTTGTTTTGGGGGTGATTTTTAAGGGTTTCTCCGAACGGCTTGAAATTTTGTGCCAACAATCTTCGTATTGAGAAATAAGCACATGTCGAGTTTTGACTTGATTGGAGCATTTTTAATCCCCAGTCTGCAAGGTTGTTTTGGGGGTAGTTTTCAACGATTTCTCCGAACGGGTTGAAATTTTGTATCAACAATCTTCGTATTGAGAAATTAGGAAATATCGAGTTTTGACTTGATTGGAGCATTTTTAACCCCCAGTCTGCAAGGTTGTTTTGGGGGTGATTTTTAAGGGTTTCTCCGAACGGCTTGAAATTTTGTATCAACGATCTTTGTATTGAGAAATAAGCGACTGTCGAGTTTTGACTTGATTGAAGCATTTTTAATCCCCAGTCTGCAAGGTTGTTTTGGGGGTGATTTTTGAGGGTTTTTTCAAATAGGCTGAAATTTTGTATCGATAATCCTCGTATTGAAAAACTAGCGAATATCAAATTTTGACTTGATTGGAGTATTTTTAAGCCCCAGTCTGCAAGGTTATTTTGGGGGTGGTTTTTAAGAGTTTCTCTGAACGGGTTGAAATTTTGTATCAACAATCTTCGTATTAAGAAATTAGGAAATATCGAGTTTTGACTTGATTGGAGCATTTTTAACCCCCAGTCTGCAAGGTTGTTTTGGGGGTGATTTTTGAGGGTTTTTTCGAATAGGCTGAAATTTTGTATCGATAATCCTCGTATTGAAAAACTAACGAATATCAAATTTTGACTTGATTGGAGTATTTTTAAGCCCCAGTCTGCAAGGTTGTTTTGGGGGTGGTTTTTAAGGGTTTCTCCGAACGGGTTGAAATTTTGTACCAACAATCTTCGTATTGGGAAATAAGCAAATGTCGAGTTTCGACTTGATTGCAGCATTTTAAACCCCCAGTCTGCAAGATAAACTGTGGTCTGCAAATTAGACAGGCCCAATGCGATTTGCTTGTAGATATCAATTTCCACAAGTTATTTTTGGCTTCATTTTTTCGAGAATTCATTTTTCCAAAATCGCATAAATTAAACTGGCAATTTTCAAAATTTTTTAAAAATTTCAACTTTAAATCGAACTCGTCGAAAATCTTGCTCCTTTTTTGCATCAGGACGTTAAGACCTCGTTCCCAGAATTTTTTAGACAATTTTTCCAAAAACCATATTAAATTTTACGCCATTTTTCGATCACCTTTGAAAATTATCCAAAGGGATTTTTCATTGTTTTTAACTTCCAACAGTTGTATTTTTGACTTCATTTCTTCGAAAGTTCCTATCATTTTTCTTTCTGTAGAACTAATCTGACATGATCGTTTTTCTGTCTGATGATCTGACCTGATCGGACTTTCCTTTCAGATGACCTGATCCGAGTTTCCTGTCTGGTTTTTCTCTTTGATGACCTAACTTGACATGACCTGACTTGACTTTTACTTCGGTCAGTCTGACCTGATCTGACTGAAATTTTCTCTCTGAATATTTGATCTGATTTGACTTTTCTGATGACTAATCTTGGCTTGAGTTTTCTTTCTGATGACCTGACCTGACCTGATCTGACTTGTCAGATGACCTGACCTGAGTTTCCCGTTTAATAACCCGCCCTAATCTGACCGGATTTTTCTTTTTGGTGCCCTAAGCTGACCGGACCTGATTTGACTTTCACTTCTAATAGTCTGATCTGACTTGACCTAAATTTTCTTTCCGAATACTAGACCTGATTTGACATTTCTAGTGATCATTCTTGGCTTGATTTTTTTTAATGACCGCACATGAAATTTGTTTCAGATGGCCTGACTTGATTTTTCTGTCTGGTTATCTGACCTGACCTAACCGAACTTTTCGTTTCGATAACCTAAGCTGACTTTTTTCTAATAATCGGACTTAACCTGAATTATTTGACCTCATTTTATTTTTGAATTCAAGCTTTGGAAAATTTCTTAAATTTATGATCTTTAAATGGGTCCTGCACACCGAGTTCTGAGAACTTACCCTTTTGATTTTATAGGTTTATTCACGAAAATTCAAGACGCAACCAGAAATACAATTTAAAAACCATCTTTCATAATTCGTACCAATTTTTTTTTAGTAAAACGTAGTTATCTGTTTTGTGGTGTAACAACACGGACGTAGTGACAGATACTACCATGTTAAAACTGACATTTATTCAGACTTGATTCAGAGGATAATGGATATTCAAACTACAAAAAAACTGATATGATTTTGATATAATGTTGTGTAGAGAACATTATCCATAGAGAAGCCCTGACGAGTTTTTGTTTTGAATGTGTTGGTTTTTGATTTTAACTTAACAGATGATGCTTAATCTTAAGTTATCAAAACCAAACAGCTAATTGTTTTACTTAAAAAAATAGTGATGGTAAATATCAGATATTCAGGTAATTGTATTATTGGTTGCGTTCCGAAGTTTTTTGGTGAAGAACTTCTTGTGTATAAAGGAAACATGTTTTTAAGGTAATCTCAATAGGACTAATAAGGTTTTAATCCTCGGAAAAATGAAAAGTTAAACATAAGAATAGACCGTCGAAAAATATACAGTTGAATATCCACTTATTATTAAAGCTGTTTTTGAAAATAGTCGGTTCTTTAACAACACTATGAATAACCCTGTATTGTGATAATATAATACCAATTGCAGAAAGGCACCTTAGATTAAAAGCATTAAAAGTTTCTCTGGTACGCCCTATGGGTACGCCAATGGTTTTGACACGTGCATCGTGTCGTTGCTATTGTCACACTATAGCAATGGGCCGTATGTCGTAGCCGTCATCATTTGCATTGTAATATCTTAGTGATCAATAAAATAGCATTGAAAATAGTAGATAATTAAATAATAATTATAATATTATAATTTTTAATTTAGTAAATATTTAGTCAATGTTTTCCTCAAAAAAGAGATCATAGTTGCCAATACAACATGTTATCTTCTATAAAATCCCTACCAATTTTGAACACGTCAAACTTCAAACGTCAATGAATGTCAACTCTGACAGAAAGACACATGTACACCTACAAAAGAAAAAACAAAAATAAAAGAATTTAATTACAAAAGTGTAACTTGAAAAAAATATCATCAATTACCCGCCAAGAAAGTCTAAAAAGGTGATAAGACTTTTTCTAACCTATAAAAAAATGGAAGGGTCTTTACTTGTAAGTATTGAAGTCGGCCTTTTCAGCAATCAAAAATAAGTACATTTACGTAGGAACCCACCCTTTACATGGTTAAAGGAATCGCAATCCTCGACAATGATGGCAACAGAATTTTGGCGAAGTACTACGACAAAAACGTGTTCCCCACGGCCAAAGAACAGAGAGCTTTTGAAAAGAATCTGTTCAATAAAACTCACAGGGCAAATGCAGAAATAATAATGTTGGATGGGCTAACTTGTGTTTATCGCAGTAACGTCGATTTGTTTTTTTATGTAATGGGGAGTTCACATGAAAACGAGGTGAGTGTGTGATCGGTTGTTCATTCTTGTGTAATTTTTGGTTTGTTTAGCTAATTCTGATGAGCGTTTTGAACTGCCTTTATGACTCTGTTAGCCAAATTTTACGAAAAAATGTGGAAAAGAGGGCCGTGTTGGATTCGCTGGATATTGTCATGTTGGCGATGGACGAAATTTGTGATGGAGGGTAAATTGATATAATTAGGAATTTATTCTGTTATATTGTTTATTTTTTTCTAGTATCATAATTGATGCCGATTCAAATTCAGTGGTGTCACGGGTGGCGCTAAGAAATGATGACATTCCATTAGGGGAGCAGACAGTAGCCCAGGTAACTAATGCGGTCCATTCAATATTTTGGTAATTGTTTTTTTTTGTGGATATGTATTTGTATTTTCTTTTAGCTTAGCGTCCTAGTTTTCTGTACAGTTTGTTAGATTAATATTGATACATTTGTTTATAGGTAATACAGTCGGCTAAAGAACAACTCAAGTGGTCTTTGCTTAAATAATAGTATTATAGAATTTGCATTATACAATAAAAATGTACTAATAACTAGAAATATTTTTGATTCTTTCTTTGATTATCATCTCGTGAACGCTATTGAATACCCTTTTTACATTATCAGTGTCAGTAGCAATGGTGTGATGAATATAAATATCTTTAGGGGGTAATGTGACTTCAGTTACTGTATGTTTAATGGGATTATACGCTTTTTCAGTCACTTCTATTTTCGATATTTCCTGAAATTCAATAAGAGCAGTTTAATTACAATCATTATTCCCATACTTACTGTAATCTTTTTCCCCAAAAATGCTTTAGCGCGTTCAAATTCTGAGTTGTGGCTTTCTGTGAAAGCGGCATATTCAGGAAAATACTTTTCTAGCTTCCTGCCTTGCTCAAGTTTCTGCTGGAAGATGTCTTGTTTATTTAAAAATACGATCATTCCAGCTTTCCTCAAAAACCTGCTACCGCATATATCTTTAAAAACTGAAAGTGCCTCATGTAGCCTATTTTTGTTATTATCTTCTCTCAAATTTTGGTCGAAATCACTCGCTGCTATTATGAACAGAATCGCATCGATTCCGTCGAAGACCTGGATCCATTTTCTGCGTTCGCCTCGCTGACCACCTACATCATACATTAAAAATCTGGCACTTCCACCACCGTAAATTTTTGGTACGCTGACGCTGAATTCTATTTCTGAAATAGAAGTAGTACGAATTCTGCAAAATAGAATATCTTGAATGGATGGAATATAGTTGGGTTTTCTTATTTCATCAATGCGATCAAGAAACCTAAAAATTGCTTGTGGCTATTATGTAATTTTAAGGGGAGGTATCAACATACTGTTGCGCACTATCAATGAGCTGATATTCATTGGAACGTTTAAACGTCTTTTGTACGCCATTATCTGCCCATAATTTCTTAACATGGTCGAAATAGTCCTACAGAGTATTAAAACTTCACGTTAGTTTAAGTCAAATTTAGTATGTTACCTGAGTGTAGTCAGAAGGTTCCTTAGGTCCTAACTGTAAAATAAAATCTGCACTGGATTTATTTTCAGATTTTTCAAGCTCAACAGGTGGATCGATTTTTTCCATGTTGTCAAGAATGTCATAAATTGATTCATGTATGTTTTGTTTAATGAAAGGAATTTTTTGCTTTTTTTCTCTGAAAGTTTACAAATGTTAGAGGTTCAGGGACCGTATAGGTACGCATATTTTGAAAAAATTCAAACAAGCACATTATTTTCGCTGAAAATTTCAACAATCTGTTAACGCTTTGTGGATTAATAGTGTTGTGTACCTAGTGATCGTTTTGGAGATTCCATATCAGAAATACTCACTCTTCCGAGAATCCATTGATGTGTAAAATTTTCATTTGTTTGATTATTGTAGTTTTCCCAGATTCTCCGGTTCCTAACAGAAGTAGTTTGATAGAGTTGCTGAAACGTTCATACGTTTCGTCAGTGGGCTTTCGCGAACCACAGCCAAACATTTTTGATTTTGTTAATTAATTTGACATGTCGATATCTGATACTGAACTATTAAGCAAGTTTTTCGTAAAAAAAGTTATCTTAAAATACTTTAATCTTATCTTGATTTAATTATCTTCTACACCTTGAATAGGATTAATAACAATAATGAACGATGATAACAATAGTAGTAGATCAGATTTATTGTCCAATAATAATCATTACTGCCCTAGTGGAAACATAAATTTATAGGTATATATACTTATTCAGATGGATATACACATATATTTTATGTTTTAGAAAAAGGAGATAAATGGATGAATGTTGCTTAACGATTTACCCGGCTTAAAACGTTTGCAAGATTTTAGAACAATCAGAGCAGTCGGTTTTGCAATTAAATTGCAAAACGTTATATCATTTTGATTTTTTTCTCGAAAAATCAGTATGTCTACAGTAAAAACCACAATAAGTGCAGAAATAAGTCTTTAATTCTCAATTAGGATGCTGAAGCCTACGCAAAGTGGTTGGAAATTCACGATTTGAGGGATCATTTAGAAATACATTTTCTCAATATCTGCGATTACGGAATTTGATTGATTTCGAAATTTAAGCAAAACTGAAAATAATTGAGATCGAACTATATATAAGCATAAATAATTTAAACTAACTCTGTTGTGTACATAAAAGCTGTGTAATTTGTCGTGTAAATTTGAATTACTAAGAAATAAATTGTTGAGTTTTACCCACGCCGATTTTTTAATCCGATCAACGTAACAATACATAAGTAACGTGTACGTTAGTTATACTTAAATCCATACTGTGCTTCGGCTTTAGAAGTGTTCGAACGTCTTCTCATCTGAAAGATCTGAAATGTGAGTGTTGTTATTTAATTGTTGTGTGTTGTACATTTTTGAAACACATGTAATACCATGTCACAAGGCATACTAATTCAGTAAACAATTATTTGTTTTTTTAAGATGACGTAATCAACTTTCTGCATGGGACGAATAATATAGCCAATTTTTTGGCAAAGTCTATGTTTTAGAATCCTGCTTAACGTTGTAAATGATAGACGACATGGTTTATTTTCACTACCATTTCATACCATTTTATGGTTGATTAATTAACTTTATCAGTAAAAGATCTTAATATAAGGAGTCAACGGTTGTATTTAGGTCGAAAAATATAACAAATATTTACCATTATCTAGGGTATTGTTTATAAATTCCTTTAATGCAGTACGTTTGTCCTCGTGAATCTGTTGTACCAGGTGGTTGGCGAAACGCGTACGAAGCTGGTTCATACAAAATTTCAAGCCGTTTGGAGAAACCCTTAAAAATTACCCCTAAAACAACCTTGAAAACTGGAGGTTAAAAATGCTCCAATCAAGTCAAAACTAGATATTTCTTAATTTTTCAATACGAAAATTACCTACTGATACAAAATTTCAACCCGTTCGGAGAAATTGTTAAAAACTACCCCCACAACAAGCTTGCAGACTGGAGCTTAAAAATAATCTAATCAAGTCAATATTTGACATTCGCTAATTTCTCAATACGGGAATTATCGTTACAAAATCTCAGCCTATTTGAAGAAACTCTCAAAAATCACCCCCAAAACAACCTTGCAGACTGGGGGTTAAAAATGCTCCAATCAAGTCAAAACTCGACATTATTAATATGTATTGCAATTGAGTCCGTCGGCCGACTCTCTACTTTTAAATTTTCTCGACCTTTCATGATCCCTAGAAGACGAAGAAATAGGTCTCCTGTTTCCGTCCGTCTGTCCGTCTGTCTGCGGTCCCCGATTTTTATTAGACAGATAATCTCCAAAAGTACTGGACCGATTGTTGTGAAATTTTGTATTTACGTTAAGAATATCATGTAGATGGTAAAACGCCAACCAAAATTTGCCTAATCATCCCCACCAATAATGTGACGACGAAGCTGTGATGATGGCTTACTTTCAAGACCTGGTGAGTTAGTATCGTTCAAATATATGTTTACTAATAATGACCCTTTTTTATATAGTCTGAAAAATACAGCCCTAATTCCTTGTGGGCAAAGTATTCGTACTTGAAAGCGACTTTCCTGATAAATGAAAATATTGACATTTCGATTTTCAAACAATTGATTGCATTCCTTAAGCAAAAGTCGAAGGGATATTCTCCCAAAAAATCACAAGTCTTGACAGTGGAACAAGTATGCAAACGATTTATTTGAGAACGTTTTCTTAAAATATGTTGTTTCAGGTGATTCTAGTAATGGGCGTATTTGGTGCGTTAAGAAAAATTGAGATGGTGCAGCTCACTATCGAAAATGTTATTGATAAAGGAAGTGTTATATTAGTGCAAATTCCAAAAACTAAAACCGATGAATGCAAGTCGTTTACTATAATAGAAGAGGAAGAATTGGGTGCTTTGCAATTGGTTCGGAAGTACGCAAGTTTAAGACCACCCGGTTTAGCAGAGAAAAAGCACAACCCGTTGGGAAAAATTCGATAGGAAGTGTTCCATCTGTTATTGCTCGCTACTTAAAATTGGAAAATCCGAAACAATATACGGGACACTGTCTTCGACGCACATCGTCGACTTCTTTAGTCGAAGCAGGAGGCATTTTTGAAACTTTGAAAAGGCACAGAAAATGGAAGAGCACGACCGTGGCGGAGGGCTATATAGCGGATAGCATGGCAACGAAAAATAAAGCAGCACAATTGATTGCAAGTCCTGTTTCCTCAGCAAAAGGATCTTCATCAAACTTACTTCAAGAGAAAGCTATCCACTTAGAAAATTCTGTTTTAACTGGAAACTTTCATCTACCATCTGGAATTGCTGCTGCTTCTTTGATGTCAGGGATATTTCAAAATTGTAATTTTTATTTCGTTACACATTAGAAACTTTTTTGACTTGTGTACATTTTGTTGTAGTTATTAATGTCGAATAAAATTGTTGAAAAAATTGGAGGGCGTTATGGTTCATAACAGCCTGGTTATTATAGAGTTGTTAATGTGTCTGGTATCATAGCGATTATAAGGAAATAATAGATGAGTGAAATATAAAACATTTTATTTACGTCGTAGGCGGAGATGGAGAGGCAATAAAAAGAAATCTGATTAATTATTATGTATTAGATCCGAATGGACTGCGGCTGCTGAATACAGGCGTACGTAAAGCGATGCTCAATTTGTCTGGAGCATCTGACATTTAAATAAATAGGTGAGAGGCTTCGGAAGAGTAAACACAACAAATTTTTTACATCAACGACAGATTTGTTCTAGAACGTGGAACAAATTCGGAGGATTTCAAAATATCTTTCAAGTTTCAAAGTCCCCCAAAGAGACGATATGGCGACTAAGTGGTTAATATTTATTTAGAGAGGCGGTTGATTGAATAATTAAGACCTACAATACGATAAAACCTGTCTGAGAATTATATATGAGTGTGTGTAAATAAGACAACAACTAACTGCAATTTCGAAAGACATTGTAACTTATTTTGAGAAAAAAAAGGTCGAATGTTTATTCAAAAAAGCAAAGCACTATAGGTAAGCAGCACTATTTTTAACAGATTAGTTGACAATGCTGTGTTTATTGCAACCCTACTAATAATTTATTACATTAAACTTTTAATATATTTATTTTAACACCGTCTTAAAAATAAAAAGCTAAAGCGTACATAAAAAGATGCACAAAAATTATCTCTTCCATTTATTAATCGCTCGGTGATATACTTGGTTAAGTGCATGTGCAAAGTAAAAATGTTCGGTTCCGTAAGTATAAATCGTGTCTTCAAGCAGAGGCTACTATTTTTTTCTTTAAGATAAATTCCAAAAAATACTTCGACAGATTTATACCCCGTAGAATAAATACTGAGATAGATATAATGAGAAGCAGTGACGCCGCTGGGTTGTTAAATAGTCCAGATGTTCAAAGTGATGTTGGATTTATTAATTACGCCAAAGTGCGATACCATCACGGCAATTTTCAAAAGCTCTTAAGGAACACCTTACTTCCGTTAGAAGCCAAAGTTTTAAACTTTTTTCCCCCCAAAAAAATTTCATTCAATGGTGTTTCCACTCAGTGGAATGAAACGTGGCCAGTGAAACTACGCAGAAAACCAGTCATTGGTCCACCTGAAATGATCCTAGATATGCCACAATTTGACTCACATCTATGTTAAGTCGTAAATTTTTGTGGTTTTGAAAGAAATGACAGTCATTGTAGGTCATCATGTTGCCGACTGGAGTAGCCAAAATTGTCTAGCTACAATTTTTGAAAACGAAGTGCACATGTGGTACCCAGATACAGACTGTCGTAGAGCGACAACTAATACAGGACAAGGAGTTCAACACTGCGTAAAATGGGCACCCGATGGCAGCAAATTTGCTGTTGGTTTATTTCCTAATAGGATCGGTATTTGGTGTATCGTCAAGAACAAAGTAAGAATGCATTTGTTATTCTAATTTTTCAAACCCTTTTTCATTTTACCAAAATTTCGATTGTTTGCAGCAAATACATGAAAACCATTGCTGCTTGCATTTCTGCGAAATATTTTGCCTAGAATGGCTAGATAACAAGACGTTAGTAGCAGGATGCAGTAGAGGCATTTTAAGTATTTATACATCCGAATTAAATCTTTTAAAAAGAGTCTGCTGTTTTCCAAAATGCAGTATTATTAACATTACTGTTTCCTGTGATAAAAGTTTTCTTGCTACAAGCAATATAAACAAGACGGTGATTGTGTGGAAGATTTCAGACATGGAACGAGTGTTCACCATTAAAAGCAAATCAATAATTAGAGTAAGTTAACTTTCAAGATAGAAGCTTTTGTTTAGGTACATTGCGCCCTTTTTGAAGGCTTTAGCATGGCACCCTTGGAAGAGCTCATTGCTTGCTTGTGGCTGTACTGATGAAGCTTCAGCACGTGTAACTATATGGAATATAAACACTCAAAACCAAGTAGCTCGTGAAAAAACCTGTTACAAAAATTCGTCTATAGGTGCTTTAACTTTTAATCCAATTAGTGGAGAACTTGTGGTAAGTTAATTTTCTTTATTAAACAAAAATCAAATTCGTCTTTCAGGTCAGTTATTTTGTACGTGACAACCATGCAGGAATTGGAATTATCACTGTTCTTTCTAATATTGATACAGTTGTAGAGGAACTCCATATTCATGATGCTCCCATATTGTATCTTCTCTGGGGTAGTGGAGGAAGACAGTTAGGTAATAACAATATCATTAGATTAGGTATCAGGTATTAGTTACAAAAAATTCAATACATATAAGAACCATCGATTTTTATGTCGACTGTTTGAAATTTCTGGAGACACCACATCAAAAAATGTTTACAGTTTGCAGAACCAGTTTTTACAATTTTTAATGTTATATAATTATGTCGTGCACAGATTTTTTAGCAAATCTTGTAAAAAAATGGTATTTATGTTTCAGCTTCTATAAGTGCGGATGAGAATTTATGTATATGGAATTTTTTTGGTAATCCTAGCATAGAAATAAAGCAAACACAAGACAATTCCAGACGCTCAAATTTGCTTTATCCTTGCATTAGGTAAACATTTTAATCTGTTCCTTTTAGTGTTGAAGGTTTTTATATTTTGTAATTTGTTTGCATTTTTTAACATTTGTCGAAAAAACGCTTTTATTATTTTACTGTTTAGATGTTTCTATAAAAAAATTATTATTACATTATACAAACAGACTACATACGTGCTGACATAAACATTATTTTAATTAGGTCTTGTTTTATTTTTGCGTGTAATGTGTAAGGAGCGAGTTTTTAATGGAAGATTCCTGAAATTAAAATTTTGTCCATAGTCACACACATGGACTATATTTTATTAGAATGGACAAGGAAATATTTTTCGCTTTGAACCCACTTTGTACTGGGCAAATTAAAATCACCAGCTACTCATATCACAAAATTTGAAATTTTACTACAAATTTTGGAGACATGCAATGATGAATAATAATCATTAATTCAATAGGGGAATTAAGAATTAGGAAGAAAATAAACTGTGTATAATACTGTTACGTTGTTCGGTGATTTAAAAATCGGCGTAGGTAAAACTCGACAATTTATTTCTTAGTAACTCAAATTTACACGACTAATTACACAGCGGTTATGTACAGAATAACTCCGACTCGACTGGAATGGATTTGACTAGACTCTACTTCTCTCATTGTCTGGACTTCACTGACTTCTCCCGACGTGGTTCCCATTTTAAACAACAACGCGGTCCTTCTCGAAAAGTCTTCGTCACCGCTTCTATGCTTGTTCTTTAGCGAATGTCATCCGGCCGCCATCACCGACGTGTGTCACCCAACATCGCCGCACATACTAGAAAACCCATAAGCGTCGTACCGGGGCGACTTATGAGCTTAGTTCGTAACAATACATATAAGGACTCCCACCATAGCTATTCAAGATTCTAAATGTTAACATTTAGGATGAAAGAACGAAACTTTGTCAAATCATATTATGTAAAAAGAAAATTCTGTAAAAACAATTCAAGAACTAAGAGCACCCTTCAACATTCGAAATAATTTTTTTGCAAGAAAAACGCTTCATATTTGAGACAAATAACAGAAGCTTTCAGTTGATCATTTTTAAAACAGACTAAATTTGATGGTTTTTTTTTGGAGAAATTATATTTCTACGGATTTCTTGAATTAATGCTATGCCAACTCTAGAAAAATGTGAATTTACTTTGATATGTCGGTCAGGTCAAACCACATCTCAACTGCTAAAAATTTGCTGATCTTGTTTATGTAGTAAATCCCGTCACTTCTCCAAAATTTACAATAGTAAATGTTATTTAAATTTTATAAAATAACATACTCCCCCACTTGTAGTTTATGAGCCCTATTGGGTTTTTACCCTTTCCAACCAGATTTTTGTAAAAAAAAAATCAAAATTTTGTAACATCTTACAATGTAACTTTGAAATTTCGAAGCGGAATATTCTGAAACACTGCAATCGTTATAGAATGTTACATAAATGATTTTGAGTCGCCTCTGCTAATACACGCGGCATACGTGAGTAAACTATTTCGTTGTTTTATTGATTATACATAAATCAATATTCAAGACGACCCAATTCATTTTCCCGAAAATTTGGGAATACAGTACTTTCATTTTTGGTATTACACTACATCTATCCAAACTGATATACGTGTCCTTGCAAAAATGTTGATAACGTAATGAGAAAGAAAACATAGTAGGCATACAGTCGTTATGTTTCCGACAGCGAAGGAAGGACTGTCTAAACTCTTTAGACCAATTTTTTAAGCTGCTCTTAACAAGTACCCCAAAGCAATCTTCCATACTCGAGCTTAAAAATACTCCAATTGAGTCCAAAGTTACCACTTGCTGAGTTCTTTAAACAAAAAATTATCATGTTAAGTTTTAATCACCTGCAAGCAACTTATAAAAATGATTCACAGTTCACATTCATTTAAAGTACAAGTAGCAGAAAAATTTCAGACATATATAAAGAAACATATTTATATATATAATATTTCTAAAGTAGGTGCGCACCATAGAGGTAGAATGAGAGGAGGGAAGATAGTTTGAGAAAATGCCTAGTACCGCGCTTTCTCCTAAGGTGATAAATGGTTCTTCCAGGTCCTCAGAGAAACTGGTTGTTCCAGTGGCGTGCTCGAAAGCGTTTGCGGGATACTGGGCATAAAACAAAAATCATTTCATAAGAAAGTATATAAAAGCAGCAGCAACAAATTTACTCGAGTTTTTAATTGGTTAAGATTGGTTGCGACGGTCGTCGTGTTATCTCCACCTTCGCGCAAACCGAGCTAATTCGTACAACTGCGTCTTCAGTTCATCACCCAGTGATCTTAATATGCATTGTTAATTATGAAAAATATTGTTTTGTTACCTTTTATAACTTTATTTTAATGCATATATTTTTAATAACCATTCTCATATTCATAATTATATTTTGCAAAAGCGTTGAATTTTTATTTTTGTTTGTTTAGTTGCACTTTGCATATAAATTTGTTAAAAAAAGTAATATCTAAATTAATTTATTCTAACAAATTGGTTTTATTTATTAGACACTACCTATTAAGTAGCAAGTTTTTGTTACCAAAATGTTATAATAAAATCAAGCTTCACATTAGAGGTAAGGATTTTGCTATACTACTTTTTTAATTGGTTTTGAAATCTTGTAAGATCTGCGATATTAATTGATATTAATCGAGTCACAGATAGGTGCTCTTTTAACATTCTTGAGTTTTGACATTTCTGCGAATGGGCTGAAATTTTGTATCAATAATCCTCGTATTGAAAAACTAGCGAATGTCAAATTTTAACTTGATCAGAGTATTTTTAAGCCCCAGTCTGCAAGGTTGTTTTGGGGGTAGTTTTTAACGATTTCTCCGAACGGGTTGATATTTTGTATCAACAATCTTCGCATTGAGAAATCGGCAAGTGTTGAGTTTTGACTTGATTGGAGCATTTTTAACCCCCAGTCTGCAAGATAAACTGTGGTCTGCAAATTAGAAACGCCTGGTGTTGTGGCGTAATAAACGTTATACCCTTATGAATGCATTTTTGAAAAACTGTTCGAACATTGGTAAAATATTCACGTTGATTTAGCAGATACAGAACATCAAGTAAAATTTGTTTTTTCGTTCCCTTCTGGAAGCTGATGACGCCATTTCAAAAAATTATACAAACACTTCGTAAAGGTTATGGTTAATATTACATTAACATTAATAAATTTATTTTTACCAAAATTTTAATGATTCTATGTAGTATTGACAGTACCTAATTTTTAACAGTATTTCAAAATTCGGACTTGCTAGTGTTTTAATGGCATGGAAGTACACGATTGTGTAGGTTTTTCGCAATTGTTGGCATTGATTACTTTTTTTTTGAAATATTATATAAGGTTTGTGTTCTAAGTATGTAGTCATAATAATGAATTCCGTTATAAAAACTAATTAAATTCAAAATTTCATTAGTAATAATTATATACCACAAATGGTAATTTCTGTAAAAGTAACTCCACTGAACAAAAAAATTTGACGTCACATCTCTTAGAGATGAAGTTTTTTGTGGACGATTAACTAATACTTTAATTTCTAATTAAGTAGCTTTGTCATTTTAGACAAACTATTTGTAAATCTACTTTTCTTTGAATACTGTTGTAGGAAGTTGGTGAAACTGAAATATGAAAACGTACAAAAGTACAAGCAAGATAGTTCTTTGTAGTGTTTAAAACAACGATGATTTTCGTTTCTTCTGCTACCGCATGATAACTTTTTTATTACTGAATGTATGGAAATAATAAAATATGACTACTACTCTACCTCGATAATTAAATGTTTTAATATAGGCAACCAACATTTGCAATGTAGCCATAAATTTGAAAAATTTTACTCTACCGACGATGCAATTTGCATTATCTTTATTGTGTTAATGTTCGATAATACCCATTGTGATAATATATTAAGTTTTATCTATCTGTCTTAAAAACAAAATAAGTTTGAATCTTTCCGCAACTATTTAAAAACAGTTTGGCGGCAATTTTAAAAATCAATATCGGTATATCGGTAAAGTAGGTGGCGACATTGCCAGACTCTTTTTGTATTGGTTTTTGAGAAGGCAGTGACTTTCCTTTGATTTTCCGGTAAGTTTCTACGTTTATTTTATTCATCCGTTGTTAATTGTTTAAAAAACTCAATGAAACATTAACAAAAGTCTAAGGTGCATTGTTATTCATATTTAATTTTACGGTTATGCGATGTAGAAACTGCTAACCTAACTGAAAAAATTCGGTTAAATTTTGTTTTGATTATGCAATGCCCTAATTTATTGTATTCTTGCAGTGTTAAAAACAAAATGCCAGAAATGACGGAGGTAGAAAAGCCAGTAGTACCGGAAACTAAACCCGAACAGAGTGCTTCTTCAACTGATAGCGATTCAGAAGAAGAAATTCCGGAGCTGGAAGATGCTTCCACTACTGGTGGAGCTCCTTTTCCTTCTAGCGCTGCCGCAGCCGGCTTGCCCATAGATATGGTCTCGAAGGCTAAACAATCACGAGGGGAGAAAAAAGCCAGAAAGATTATGTCAAAGTTGGGACTTAAACCAGTGAGTAATTTTTCATTACCATTTTACATTACCTCATTATGATGAGATTATCCAAGGTTTCGCATTTTTGAGCTGAATTCACACTTGTGATTAATTTCTTGGCAGACTGACCTTTGGTTATTAGTACATCATAATTATGACGCCATGCAAGATTTTGACAGTTTTTTATCATTTCAGGTTACGGGAGTGAACAGGGTGACCATTCGTAAATCAAAGAATATTTTATTCGTCATAAATAAACCAGATGTATATAAGAATCCAGTTAGTGACACCTACATTGTCTTTGGTGAAGCTAAAATTGAAGATCTGTCACAACAGGCACAAGTTGCTGCTGCTGAGAAATTCAAGGAAGTTAACCCTGCTGGAGAAGGGGCTTCTGGTAATCCTACAACATCTGTCGCACCAATTGCTGAAGAATCTGAAGATGAAGAAGTTGATGAAACTGGTGTCGAAGAAAAAGATGTTGAGTTAGTAATGTCACAAGCCAATGTTAGTCGAGCAAAGGCTATAAAGGCTCTCAAGAACAACCTAAATGACATAGTTAATGCAATTATGGAACTTACTATGTGATGAGTTTGATGGAGGGTATTAAACAGGTTATATTATTTACTTTTTTCATTTTAAATAAGCACTGTTTGTCAGGTGTAAATAATAAAATGCAGTTGTGCTAGTTTGAAATTTTGTTTTTTCACAACTTTAAGTAACTACTGTTCTCAAGTTTTGTCACGCGTGTTGACAATACTTGTTATTAATAGGTATTCTTAAGTATGGTCTATGAATTTATAATTTGTGTTGCAGAAGTCTGATATTTCGAATAAATGTACATGCTAATGATTTGAGAGTTATTGGGTATTATATATAGTGTAAGTAGGAGGGGTCAACATCAAGATTGATTTTGAATGTTGATGATTTTTTTATTTTAACGTTTAATACTACAATACTGATAAGAATAAATGAGCATTTGCAAATGTATGCTAGGGCAAGTCCCAGCAATAAGTTGCATGTTTTTAAAATTACTGTGTAGATTAATAAGTTGGTTAACAAGTGAGTGGTGAAATAATCAAACGACCACCAATATTATGAAATAAAAAGTACAGCAGTAACAGTGAGTAGGAAAATCACAGTAACACTAGTTGGATGTCCACCTAGGATTTTAGTTGCAGATCCTGTTGTTGGCGGCATTAGAGTGGTAGGGGTATATTCACCTCCATTGTGTTTGCCTGAAAAAGATATTAATTATAAAAATATATTTGTGCTTGTTATTTAACACAACAGGGATACAAAATTTGATTAGTACATTTACATTACTACAGCGGGTGATTTGCAGGAATTTTGAACGTGTTTTGTAGAGTATTTGTTTAAATTATGTGTGTTGAACTGGGAATCAAAACTAAAACTTTTTGAAATTGCATGCTTTTGAAAATTGGCACACATGTTTGTATTAGGTACTTTGCATCCAAATAATTAATTTTAATAATTAAAAGTTTCAATTTTTGTTGTCGTGTAAGTGCGATGGAAGCCAAATTTATACTACTTTTTAAATCTGATTGTTTGATTATGTAAAAGTTTTCATTAAGATTAGGTAGGTTTTTTTTTTGTCTATATAAAATTAAAAGATGTGTGAGGACTTCAGAGCAGTGATTTGTTTTCCTTTTAAAATCCGTTAACGTGTTTTGGGTGTCTCGCTGCTAATGGCTAGCCTATCATGAATAATGAATTAATGAGCTGAAGAATACACAAAAAGTGAGATAAAGTGGTGATTACCGTCCTTGAGCCGCTGTGTTTTTGGGGTCAAATTATATACATTTTTGAATTTGTTAAAAGAAACTTTTACACGATTTACACTTTTGTGTGGACTTTACCGAAGCACAAGGATATTACAACTAAAGTGTTATTATGGTTTATAATATATTGTATAAATTTTATACGTTGGTTTATGCAAGTTACTATCACGTTGGTGGACAGCAAATTAGGAACTATTTTATCCATTGTGGTGACCGAATTTAAATCAAACTTTTCGCGCTGAAATTAATTGACAGCGGCGCGAAATCGCATTTGAATAATTTGAATTTGAAAAAAAAAGTTCAATCACGAAAAGGAACTCCTTAAACATAGGCAACCAAATATGCATGGATGGTCTAATGCACGTAGCGCTTAGGAGTTAGTTGCATGATCTTTGGGTTAGATGGCAGCACGTAGCGCTAGGGTAATTTCAGTTAGAGGGTTGGTAGAAAAACGGCATGGTAGGGCATTACGAATGTGGCTGTGTGTGTGTGACCACGTGGTAAGCGCTAGGTTTAAATTAGTTGGTTTGGTAGTTAATAAAACGGGAGGAAGCCTTTGTTTAACGACGATCAAACGTATTTTTCATAATGATACAGTTGTCCCCAACCCGCGCGGTAAATTCTTGCACCCTTTTAATCGAAAATTGCAGACTTCCGGTCGGACGCGAACACGTGTTGTGAATCTGTTTCTTTGTTTGTAAATTCACCAATCAAGCTAGTTTTTCTTAATAGTCAGCTAGTGCAAACACAATTTAACAATCAGGATTATTTAAATTAACCATTTGCTAGAAGATTTCATGAAATTCACTTAGTCAGGAAAAACACCTTGTGTTTAATTACGAATAGGTCTCTGGATGCATATACGTAAGTGTTACATTATAACACTTCTAAATTCTTCACACAAGATTGCTAATAGTTCATTTACGGCAGTTAAACAAGTTCATTATACTGCGGACTGGCGGGGGGTTATGATATTTTCTCCCCTTAGGTGGTTATCATCGTTATCACGATTAATTCATCGGGGCATGTTTCGCAACGCCAGATTGATTAATTAATTAAGGCATGCCCCCAACGCTACAGAAAATTTACATTACCGAGACGCTTTTTCCTCGCAACGATTTTGGATATTTACATCACCGAGACGCTTTTTCCCTCGGAGCGATGATTGGATATTTTTGTATTTGTTTATTATGTGTTTTGTTGGGGTAACCAGTTCGTAGTATTTTAACTTCTCAAAGTAAATTATTTTTGAAGTAACCAATCATTTAGATCATGATATAATTTGGCATAATGTAAACTCTTTGTTTGAACTGTTGATAAAGTGTGGCAAATATTAATCTCCTGTAAATTATGTTAACTCTGCAATTTTTCACATCGTACTATATTTCTTAATCTCACAATCTTAACCTCAGTAATTTTATTTGTTGTATAAATTTAATTGAACGTAAATTTCATGTTCTACAGTTCTAACCTCACATAACATTTCTATTTGTACAAGTTTATTTCACACCAGATCTTTCGTCTCATAAATCCTTGCTAAGTTTTGTTTTGTAAATACTTTGTTGATGAATGTTTTCTATCATATAAATTATTTGATGTCCAACTTTAATCCCACATAAGAATTATTTGTTGTTTAAGATTTCACAAGATTGTATGGCGAATTTAAATGTTGTTTATTGCTCTTTGAAACTTTAACACTTGTTCAGTTGTTGTTAACATCAGAGTTATAAGAGATTGAATGTTTTAAAATGGAATTGAGGTTAAATGACACAGAAAACGTGGCAGAAGCGAGGTTTGGTTCCTAGTCGAGCTGGCGAGATTTATCGCGCCACCTGTACAAGTCCACAGGTTTGGATAGATTCAGGGGGCGGCCGCCGACGTTGTGAATTTCTCGATTTGGCCCAATAGTCGAGATCTTTGCGGGTTGGACAACCGTAATGGCCTAGTTCCGCAGGGCAAAGTTCGTCATGGGATATGCGTGTGGGGTAGGCTTTGCGATAGATAGAATCACCGTCGCGGGGGGAAAACAGTTCCAGACCGGTAGCTCAGACTCCGCTTATGCCACAACGCTCCAGGGGTACCTTTCTTGTGCTCCTGTTAACTGCCGTAACAAAAAAAAAAGGAAAAGGGAGATCAGCCGCCACATGCCTGTAATAACTTGTGTACTTGCATCCAGATTACTTGATTCAGCTTTTGCTTTGTTTTATTAAATTTGTGATATTCAAATATTTGCATTGATTCCAAACAGATGTACAGAATTTCCGTTTGTTCGTTTTTCGTGTGTGTATGTTTGTCAATTCGCGAGTGTTTTTCTTTCACATATCTTAAGGTGTTTGAAATGTAATAATATGTCGTCCGGGAATAAAACCAAAGGGGGTTTTTGCGCTGAGGGGTAATTCTTCGCAGCGTCTTTCCCCCTGTGAGGGTGGTGCCGTTTCCCCCCCTCCAAAACAATTTTTGTCTATTATTTCTTGCGCTCTCGACAGTGTATGCACTTGTATGAAAGAACGTCTTCCCGCCATTTTTCAAAAACAAAAAAAAAAACACACAACGTAGGTTCTTATTTGTTAGACGATCACAGCCAAGGCCAAACTTTGAATTTTTAAATTTTTCGCGGGCCTCTCAAACTGTTTCAAGGTCAAATTTTTAAGGCGGGAAGTTTGGGTTATCACACCATTAACTTGTGATAAACCAAACATCCCGCCTTAAATTGACATGTGTGAAAGCCCGCGAAAAATTCAATTCAAATATTTGGCCTTGACTGTGATCGTCTAACAAAATGAAACCTACGTCTACGTTGTGTGTTTTTTTTTTTTTGTGGCGGATTGCGTTCAGATCACGGACCGTTCAGATGCAAGTGGTGGAGCTCAAAGTTGGAAAAGTACCGCTAAATAAAACAGAAAATATGTAGAGGACACAAAATCATTTATTCCTCCACTGACAAAAAAAGACAAAAAAAAAGCTGCCACTAAGTTGTGCCGGTTGAAAACACCTCAGCTAGAAAGAAAAAAACTCGCCTAACTTGGAATAAAATCAAATTAAACGTTCTAAATCAATGCAATTATTCGCATATCATAAATTTAATAAAAACAAAGAAAAATGAAAGTAACTGGATGCAAATACACATGTTATTACGGACGTGTGGCGGTAAATTTAAATTATGGCAGTCGCCAAGAGATCAAAATTTTAAGAAAACTATGCAGCGGCAGTGGCACCAGAGCGCTATAAGAGTGTGGCGATCGAACTATATCCACTTCAGTCTAGAACACAGCAGAATTACCCATAGGGAACGGAGTTTGGGCTCCTGGTTGTGGCTGTTCTTCCACTACGACGATGATTCTACTCTAGATAAGTTGACAGCGTCACGTCATCCCGACCGCTCCCCTGAGTTCTATTCTAGGCCTGAATCCTTTTGTGCAGATGGCGCGACCGCCAGCTCGACAAGGAACCGCGCACTGCACTTCCGCCACGTGGTTTTGTGTTATTTACCTCGATTACATTAAAATGTTCACTTTCTATAACTCTGATATTAAACGACAACTAAACAAGTAATAAAGTTTCAAAAAGAGCAATGAACGACATTTTAATTCACCATATACTCTCGTGAAATTTTAAACAGCAAAGAATTCTTATCTGAGATTAAGATTGGACATCAGACAATGTATATGTTGGAAGTATTAATCAACAAAATTTTTACATGAAAAACAAGCAAAAATTTATAAAAACAAAAAAAAAAAACAATCTGGTGTGAAGTAAAATTTGTGCAGACAAAAAAAAATACGTGAGGTTAGAAACTGCAGAGCAAATTACTGAAGTTAAAATTGTGGGATAGAAAAAAATGTATGAGGTGAAAAATTGCAAAGCTAACAAAATTACAAGGGGTTATTGTTTTGTGTCCGTTCGAGTTATTGGTTAAATTTTAAAAGGTGAAGTTATTCAGCTGCATTCTGGGTCATTGTTATACATTTCTCCAAACAAACGCAAAAAAAACATTGCAGGCAATCTGGAGGTTCAAAATAGCGTCGGACGAATGCGTCGTTCAAATAAAAAAATGCCTCAAAAGCATGTCTCCCAGAAATTTGATCAATCCTGCGACACTGTGCAAATAATGGTCTAAATCAAAGGAATAAAATGCACGTCCCCCAGGACCCACAATGTTGTTAATTTGTTCAACGAGATTTTAGAATTCAAACATGCCCTCAGTCTGAAAATACTCTTTCAACACGGCCGCTGCCAGAACAAAGAATTGACCTGATGTTAAATTGTGCCACATTTTAACAATGATTCAAACAAAGAATTTACGTGATGCAAATTATGCCTTGATCCAAGTGATTGGTTATTTAAAACAATTAACTTTGATGAGAGTTTATATCGTAGACTGTCCCCAGCTTATCCCAAACAAACACGTGATAAATAAACACAAAGTGCATCCGGTG